TCTAACCCAAGACTTGGCAGAATGGCAATACCCACAAGCTACTCTGCTACAATATGTAGATGACCTCCTGCTCTATGGACCAAATGAGCCTGTCATTTCACGAGCCACTGAGTCCTTACTAAACTTCTTAGCAGATAGAGGTTATAAGATCTCTAAAGAAAAAGCCCAGTTGTGTCAGTCTAGGGTTACATATTTAGGTCTTGTCCTGGAGAAAGAAATGAGATCTCTAGGAGAAGACAGAATCCATCCAATCCTGACGTTTCCTCTACCTAAAACTCTAAAACAATTGAGGGCCTTTTTGGGGGTCACAGGATACTGTAGAATTTGGATCCTGGGATATGCAGACCTAGCCAGGCCTTTATACTACCCAGCCCTTTATTGAATGTGATGACAAGTCAGAAAATCCATTCCACAGGTTAAAAAAGGCTCTTATGACAGCTCCTGCCCTGGGTCTCCCAATACAAGACAAGTTTCAATTATATGTCTATGAAAAGGGAGGACTGGCCTTGGGTGGTGACTCAGCTCTGGGGCATCACTCCCCAGCCAGTAGGCTACTTAAAAAAGAGTTAGATCAGGTAGCCAAGGGATGGCCAGGATGCCTCAGAGCAATGCTACAGTAAGCCTTCTAGTGCTTGAAGCTCAGAAACTTATCCTAAACCCCCCCTAATGGTTTATACCCCACATGACCTAGGGGGAATTTTAAACTCAAAAGGAGAACTTTGGCTATCTGACAGCTGTCTACTTAAATATCAGGCCCAGCTTCTGGGAGGGACAGAAATAACTTTAAGGACCTGTCAGAGCCTAAATCCTGCATCCCTTCTACCAGAGGCAGAGGGAAATCCTGAGCACTTGTTTGAGGAGGTACTTATGGAAAATTATGCTGCCCAACCTGACTTAACTGATCAGCCCTTAAAAACCCAGATCTAGAATTATACACTGATGGCAGTTCCTTTGTCAAGAATGGTGTCAGACATGCAGGGTTTGCAGTTGTGACAGAATTTGGCATCCTCAAATCAGGTCCTCTTCCTCCTAATACAAGTGCTCAACTGGCAGAATTAGTGGCCCTAACAGAAGCCCTAAGACTGTCAAAAAAACAGAGAGTCAACATCTATACAGATTCTAAGTATGCCTTCCTGATCCTGCATGCTCATGCAGCCATTTGGAAGAAAAGAGAAATGCTAACTACAATAGGAACAGCTTCCCATAGAAATAAGAGAGGTTACTCTAATAGTTTTAGGGATAACAGCATTAGTTGCAGCCCTTGCTGGAATCAGCTATGGGGTAATTGCCAATCATGTAACTGCAAAAAACCTAACCAAAGTGGTAGAGGACACCTCAGACCAGGTAGGCCTTGCCATTAAGGACATGCAAAGGTCTTTGTCGTCTCTTGCCTGTATGGTAATGGACCACTGCCTGGCCCTAGATTTTCTTTTGGCCAAGTAAGGGGGGGTATGTGCCATTGCCAATACCTCCTGTTGCACATATATAAACACTTCAGGCATTGTAGAGGAACGTGCAGATTACATTCTCCAACAGACTAAATGGCTCCAGGAGCAATCTCTTGAAACTCAGATTTCTACACAGGTATGGGAACAAATAAAATCCTGGCTCCCCTCCAGGACTTGGTTCCTACCCTTTCTGGGGCCTATAGTTGCCCTTGTCCTCTTGCTTGTGTTTGGGCCTTGCATTTTAAACTTACTTGTCAAGTTTGTTTCTTCTTGCCTAGAATCCATCAAACTACAAATGCCTCTGGTGGAGATAAAAACAACCTACTACCGCGGTCCCCTTGACAATCCCTCTTGTGGTCAGCCCTGACGCTGTGGGCCCCTTCATTGCCCCCTGTCAGCAGGAAGCAGTTACTGAACAGACTTCGTCGTCCCAATCCCTAACAGCAGTTAGGGCTACCATTGAGAGGGGGAATGAAGGACTGAAGGACAGACTGCAGGAGGTCCCAAAAGGGCCATAAGTGGTCAAGGAGACACTTCTCCTCCCTAGGAAATTCCTGTTTGCATTTGAAAGGCATCTCCACCCTCAGGCAATGCAAACTAGGCTATAAAACCCACTCCCCACCCTGACCCAAGGGATCACTGGTTTCTGGGTCCCCCTGCATTCTCCAATATGCAGTCTTTCTCTTCTCTTTTCTCCAACTAAATTCTCTGCAAATAAAATCTTTCCGACCTCTGCTGTTGGAGTCTGCCTGTGCTTTCATTCTCAGAGCAAGCTCAAGAACCCTGAGCATCTGAAATTCCTGTGCGTGTCATCCATGCATCATATGGTCTTTTAAGTTTTCTGTCACATTTGTTTATTACATGCATTTTATTTATTTATGTTATTTTATTGTGGTACTAGGGCTTGAACTAAGGGCCTATACCCTCAGCCACTTACATCAGCCCTTTTTTGTGATGTTTTTTTTCGAGATGTGGTCTTGAAAACTATTTGCCTGGGCTGGCTTCAAACCTCAATCCTCCTGATCTCTGCCTTCTCAGTAGAAAGGATTACAGGCATAAGTCACTGGTGCCCAGCTACTACATGCATTTATGTTCAAAATAATATTTCATGTCTTTAAATGAAAGTAGTATATACATATGAATTAAAAAATCCAAAGATTTTTATAGAAAAGGTTTTGTATTTCTCAGTTCCCCTGTTTAGCTCTCTAGAGTTACTCTACATAATGCTTGTTTCTCACTGATGGTTAGGCACCTACTGGTTTACACACAATTCATTTATCAGCTTGAGACATTTTCCTACTACAGAATGTGAGAACTTAGGTTCTTTTAAATATCAATGCTGCCCTTTTGAAGGGGGACTGCAGGAGATCCACGTATTCCCAAAAGTTGTTGGTTAGCCAGGGGTAAAAGGCCCCTTCTCCTTTCCAAGAAACATCTGTTTGCACCAAGGAGACATTGATTTCTTATTTGACATCTGTCTGTCAAAATCTCCGCCCTTGAGCAATAAAGAAAGCTTTAAAACCCAATTTCCAACATGACCCAGGGGACCACTGGTTTCTGGGTCCCACTGCATGACCCCATACAGCCTTTCCTTTCTCTTCTCTGCAAATAAAACACTTCTGACCTTTGCTGCTCCAGTCTGCCTTTGATTTCCATCTAAGAGCAGATCAAGGGCCCTCACTGCCTGAAAGTTATTGCATATCATCTGAGTATCATTTTCATCCTATTCTCCTTTATACAAAACATCAGCAGTCCATTTTTGTCACATAACCCAGTATTTAAAAACATTAATCAGATCATAACACTCTTTTACTTAAAAACGTGACTGATTTTACACTGTTTTTCTCTATCCAGCAAAAAGTTTGCCAATTTTCTAAAGAACCAGCTATTGATGTCATTGGTTTTCTCTGGAGTTTCCTATTTTCTATTTTATCAACTTTTGTTTTAATTCTAACTTTCCCTCTATATGCTTTAGGTTTGCTTTGCTCCTCCATTTCCACTGTCTTAAGGTGGTGGATTAGATTATTGGCTTAAGATCTTTCTTCTTTTTATTCATTTGTTTTTATGGTGGCACTGGGGTTTGAACTCAGAACGTAATGCTTGCTAGGGAGATGCTCTACCATTTCAGTTACACCTTCAGCCCTTTTTGTTCTAGTTATTTTGGAGATAGGGTTTCCATTTTTTTCCCATGCCAGCCTGGACCACAATCCTCCATTTTAGGGTTCCTGCAATAACTAGTATGAAAAGTACACACTGTTATGATCAGCTTTTTTCCTATTGAGATGGGGTTTCATTGACTTTTTTTGCCTGTGCTAGCCTCAAACTGATCCTCTCATCTCAGCTCCTAAGTAGCTAGGATTATAGGAATGAGCAACTAGTGCCAGGCTTCTTTTTATTATAAGCATCATATAGCTGTAAAGTTACCTCCACCTACTGCTTTAGCTGCATCTCTTAAATTTTTGCCAAATCATGTGTTCATTCTGATTCATCTCAATGCATTTTTTTTTGGTGGGGCTATGGTTTGAACTCTGGGCTTTGTGCTTGCAAAGCAGATTACAGGAGTGAGCCACCAGCTTCTGGCTCTAATTCTTCTTTGATCACTACTGGTTATTCAGAGTGAGTGGTTTAATTTCATATATTTGTGAGTTGAAGAGAAATATATGTGAGTTCATATATTTGAGATGTTGAAGAGAAGGTCCAGGAAAATACCTGTGCAAGCAGGCTTAGGGAAAAACGTGTCTAAATCAGAGAAGAAAAGAAGGGATCTAGGAAGGAGCTTTCCAGAATATAATAAATAACCTATGTTTTGAGCATATGGAAAGTATTAGTCATAGGCATATGGCAGAGATACTGAATATATTAACATGTACTTTAAAACATTTTCAAAAGCTCAGGAAAATAAAAAATGAGAAATTATTAACTCCATGACAAATGAAGCTTCTACAAGAACAGAGGCAGTACCAAACTGCTTGATATAGGAATACCTGTAGAGCCAAATGTAAATATTTTCTGTTAATTCCCAATAACTGATTAATAAGTATTTAAAGATTATGGGGAAGGACATAGGAAAATGTGGGGAATGGGATGGGGAAACTAAGGCCTCACCAACATAAACATAATACTTATATTTATCAATAGATCAGTAAATAATAGCTAAAAAATGATAAGTCAAGAAATAATAGTATCCCTTATTTGGGGCTATATTGGTCAGTGTAACAGAAACAATTTGGGTTTTTTTTTTTCCAGTACTGGAGTCTCAATTTAGGGCCTCACATTTGCTAGGCAGATACTCTACCACTTGAGCCATTCCACCAGCCCTAGAATATTTTGAATGGTTATAAAATTAGAGGTTGGGAGGATAGTGGCAAGGGTAGCTATTTTTGATTCTAGGTTTGAAAATTAGAGTATTAATTGGATAAAATTTAAAATAAATTAAAAAGGACAAATGAAAGCTCTTCATAACTCACTGCTAACTGGTTGCTTCCTTTATTGGTAATCCAAAACTACTGACTTGCCGTTAATTTATCTTTTAAATCTCATATTAAAACATACCTTCCGAACATCAGAGCTCTTGGGTTCTGTAGTCCAAGTAATGACCCGAGACACTGCCAGACGAGTCTCACTGGAATTTATAAAATCTCCTGGATCCATCTGTTTGGCCAGAGTTTCTATGTATTTAAGGATTGCAACTTTTACCTGCAGTGGTAAGCACAATGAAAGAAGACAATAAGATGGTTATGATGAGACCCTGGAGAATGTTTAAGAAATAATCATGATTTTTTTTTGGCAAGTAGAAAATGAACAATATTAACAAAAAAAGGAAGTATATATTTACCTACCTGACATACAACTATGCAATAAGGTGATGACTTTTGTTTTCACATGTATAAGAACTTTTAGGTTCCAGGTATTTCATTCCTCAAATATGAACAACTGCTGAGGATTTTCTCAACAAGGTTACAAACTTCTTGAATCTGCCTTCAGAGTGTACAGCTGACTCTTGGCTAGCCTTACAGGGAGCCAATCTTAATCAACTTAGTTTCATTTTTTGGGAAAATAAACCAAAGTATGTGAAAATAAGGTATAGTAAGTTAAGCCTGTAATCATGGTGGGCAATAGAAAGTGTATTTTTTTTTTTTTTCTCAAACATTGGGTAAAACTCACAGCATGAGATTAGGTTCTTTGATAAGTCATTAACTGTTAGAACTGCTTCTAAAATAAGTGTCAACTGGGCTGGTGGAGTGGCTGAAGTGACAACACCTGACTAGCAAGTGTGTGGCCTTGAGTTTACGTCCCAGTACTGCCAAAAAAAAATCAACTAAAATAAATGCCACAAAAATGTTTATATGAGTACCACTAGAGGAAAGACAACACTTATTTGGATAAAGTTACCACATATGGGTATAAAAAGTCTAATTATTTTCCTAATTACTCTTGATGTATGGGTGCATGGAAGGCAGCTGTGTGGTAGAATGCAGGTTTCAAAACCAGCAGGAGATGGAGGTATTTCCAAAGCACACGTGTTTCTTTCTAGACTTAGTCATTTTTATCCTTTAGTAAGTCACTATTAAGTTATATCCCTTCTTTCTGCCATGCTAGGGCAGATAAAAAGGTTAAGAATCACCTTGTTTGGTCACACATTCTAACATTCTAGTTTCTAGACAGTGGTTCTCTCAAGCTTTACTTACGTACTTTATTTTTGGAAAGTTTTTTTTTTTTTTTCAGTGGTGGGGATTGAACCCAGAGCTTTGCATATGCGAGGCAAGCATTCTGCCACTGAGCTACATCCCCAGCCAATCAATCCTTTAAGTTGACAAGAACTGTACACATATAGGGTATACAATATGTTTTGAAATATGTATAAATTGTAGAATGGCTAATTGACATATGCATTACTGAACATATTTATTTATTTACTTATGGTAAGCACACTTAAAACCTACACTCTTTTAAGATTTTTTTTTTTTTTTTGGTGGTACTGGGGATCAAACCCAGGGCCTTGTACATGCTAGGTAAACACTAAACCACTGAGCTACATACATCCCCAGCCCTAGAAGATTTTTATTGTATATTTAAAGTGTACAATATGATGTTGTTTTGATATATATATATATGTATATATATTGAAATGGTTACTATAGTTAAGCAATGAACAAATCCATCATCTCACAGGTCTAACCCTTTTCTGTGTACATGTGTGTGGCAAGAACACTTAAAACTGACTGCTGAATACAACAGTATTAACAGTAGTCGTCATGTTGTACATTAGATCTTTTATATGTGCAACTTTGTATTCCTTGGCCTACATCTCCCCATCTCCCTGTAACCCATTAACAATTCCCAGGCACTATAGATATACACCATATTGTTATTACATATAGTCAGTAGGCTGGACCTGTGCACATCAGAAATGGTACCTGAAACACTGCAGAGTCTTTGGATTCAGCAGATGCTATATACATATTAAGTGCTGATTTGCTGACTTAGAAAAAGGAAGGTTTAAACTGGAACTTGAAAAAACATTGCCAAAGACTAATGTAATTAGTTTTTCTATGCTCTTCCTTTTCTCATTCATTGTACTGTCATTTCTATCATTTAGGCCAGGTAAGGTCTCTGGGAATGGCATGTCAAACTGACATGTAGGAAGTGAAATATTAAAATAAGGTTCTAACTCTTCTATGTTTTTTCCTTTCTGTTCCTAGTAACGATAAGAAAACTGGAGGCATCAAATTTCATAGTGAATGAATTTTAAGAAGTATTTTAAATTTTATACAGGCAACAAAGTAAAAATAGATCAACAGGATTACATCAAATTAAAATTATCATGTTGTAACACGTTTCAGCATGAATGTATGTATCATATATTGAGAGTAAGGAGACAACCTATAGAATGGAAGAATATATTTGTAAACCATATAAACAACAAAAAACAAATAACCTGCCAGGTGCAGGTGGCTCATGCCTATAATCCTAGCTACTTAGGAGGCAGAGAACAGGAGGATCGAAGTTCGAAGCCAGCCTGGGCAAACAGTTCATGAGATTCATAAGACCCTATCTCGAAAAAAAAAAAAAAAATCACAAAAAAGGGCTGGTGGAGTGGTTCAAGTGGTAGAGCACCTGCCTACCAAGTGTGAGAAAAAAAAAGGAAATCAAATAACCTTTTTAAAAACTGATTAAAGGACATGAACAGACATTTCTCAAGGGAAGACATATAAATGGCCAACAAGTATAATGAAAAAATGTTCCAACACTATTAATCATAATGAAAATGCAAATTAAAACAATAAAATATCACTTCATCCCTGTTAGAAATGTCTATTACACACGAAATGAAATTTAAGTAACGATATGAAGAATTTGTACATTGAATGTACATCACTATAGCCATTATGGACAACAGTATGGAGGTTCCTTAAAAAATTAAAATAAAATTCTGTATGACCCACCAATTCCACCATTGAGTGTATATCCAAAAGATATGAAATCTGTATGCTGAAGATTTAACTGCATTCCCATGTTCATGTCAACATTATTATAACAGACAAGATATGGAATCACATTAGTAATTGAAAGGATAAAGAAAATGTGATATACACACAATGGAATTCTACTGAGCCTTAAAAAAAAGAAAATTCTGTCATTTGTGACAATATATATAGATGACCCCGGGGGCACAATATGTCAGTGAAATAAGCTAGGTAAAGTCAAATACTGCACCATCTCTCTTACATGTGGAGTTTGACAGACTCGAACTCATAGAAAAACAGAGAGTAAGCTGGGTGTGGTGGTGCACACTTGCAATTCCAGCATTTGGGAGGCAGACACAAGAGAATTGTGACTTTTAGGCCATCCTGGGCTACATTCCAGGAAACCTGTTGTAAGGAAAGATGAGAGAGAGGGACGGAAGAAAGGAGGGAGAGAGGAAAGAAAGAATTAAAGAAAGAAGGAAGGAAAGAGGAGAAAAGAAAAGAAAGAAAAAAGAAAATGAAAGAAAGAAAAACTAGTGGTTATCAGAGGCAGGTTAATTGAGGAGATACTGCTTAAGGACACAAAATCTCTGTGTAGACATAAAAAAACTTCAAGAGACCTATTGTACATCAAAGTGTCTACACTTATATATACACTTTGCATATTTGAAAATTACTAACAGTGAATATTAAGTGTTTTCAGCATAAAATATAAACATGTGAGAATTAAAATGTTAAATAGCTTGACTTTGCCATTCCTCAATGTATACACATATCAAAACAGCATGTTGTATACCCTATATAGTTTTTACCTGTTAAATAAAAAACCAGAATTATAAATTTATAGAAATTTATTGTAAACATGAGTTATGAGCCATCAGAAATCTGTAGTACACAAGGAAAGAGACACCTGGTTAGTTTTGCAGTAGCAGGTCCAACTAAATTATAGGAGTACATAATATTCTGAGTTCTTGAAGTCATGTTACCTTCTATCAGTATAAACAGCTGAAAGGTGGTTATGCTAAACCAATAAATAAACTCTCTCTCTCTCTCTCTCTGAGACAGGGTCTCACTATGTAGCCCAAGCTGGCCTGGAACTCATGATCCTCCTGCCTGCTTCCCAAGTGCTGGGATTATAGGAATGCACCACTATGTCCAACCAGCAGTGTATGTTTTTAATGTGCCAGCAACAATATTTGAGGGTATTTATTTGCACTCTGTGAAACTCAACTAGCGCAGTGTGTTGGTAATTTAGAGAATCATAAAAAATTTTCTTTCTTTTGGGTTGGTACTAAGCTTTGAACTCATGGCTTTGTGCTTACTAAGCAAGCACTCAACCACTTGAGTCATGCCCCATGAAAAGGGTCTCACATTTATGACCAGGCCAGCCTGGACAATGATTCTCTGTTTTATGCATTTCTGCATAGCCAGGATAACAGGCATTATTATGCCTATTATCTTTTATTGGTTGAGACGGAGGTCTTGCTAACTTTTTGCCAGGGCTGGCCTCAAACCATGATCCTCTCAATCTCTGCCTCCCTAGTAGCTAGGATTACAGAAACATTCAGCTATTTTTCATTCTTTCTTTTTTATTAAGCCAGTGTTTCATTATGTGGCCAAAGCTGGGCACAAAATCATGATCCTCCTACCTCAGCTTCCCAAGGGCTGTGATTACAGGTGTGCACCAGCATACCTAGCTTGAGTCATGGAAAGTTTTAAAAGGGTTTCACAGGATAGATGTGTTTACTATACTATGCACAATATCCACAGCATCATTTGAACATTTATATTTTGGTAGGGGATTTTACAAGATTATAGGCAAGCATCACCCTACCTGGCTTCTTTTTGACATTTAAACATGTGACAATCTATGAAAGATGTAAAATTTTATATAAATATCAATTTTTTTTAAAACTCAGGGCCTTAGCAAACACCCTGCCACTTGATCCATGCCCCCAGCTCTTTTTCCATTTGTTTTCAAATAGGGTCTTGCTTTTATCACAAGCTGGCCTGAGCTACAATTTTCCTCTTATTTACACTTTCAATGTAGCTGGGATGACAGAGCACGCTCCTGTGACTAGCTTTTTATTGGCTGAGATGGCGTCTCATGGGCATTCTGCCAAGGCTGGCCTCAATCTTCCATCATCACGATCTTCACTCTCCGGAGTAGCTAGGAAGGATTATAGATGTGAGCCACCGCATCTGGCTCAAACATGAATTTTTATCTGAAAGATCAATACTTTTTTTAAAAGATGATTTTTTTGGTACTTATATTCAAGTTATTTGTGTTTTTCTGTAACCCGTTATTATGCTTAATCCTATTATCCACCTGAAAGCTTTTACTTTTGCAAGAGGAATGGCTCCAATATAACTTAACATTGCTGTCCTAAAACATCAGTTATCAGTTAAAGAGTTGATGTGTGATTTTTCCCTATGGTGTTGCTATTGTATCTACATGTTTTACATATGAAAAAAATTAGGCTTTTAGAGAAATAGTCTGTGATTCCAGTACAATGTTTTCCAACAGAGTGAAGTAACTTTAATCTGTCTGTTCACATCACTATTCCCCTTGGTTGTCTTTCTCTTTAGGTCTTTGGCAGCATTATTTTCTCTGTCAAGTCACTTCTTGCTCTTGAATCTGAAGCTGGTTCAGACTTTCATTTGCATTGGCCCATGAAACATCTCTACACACACTTTCAACAGTAGTTGAATATCCACTGGAGGTACTTACATCATATCCTTTATCGCAATTTAGTTTATCATGTTATCAGATAATAATGATAAAAAATGTTAAGTTTATATTCCAGGAATGCCTAGCACAATGACTGGACATAAAAATATATTTATCAGTGATATAAAGTAAATTATTTTTCTGCAGATCATGTTTCCTTTTTTTTTTTTTCCTTTTTGGTGGTACTAGGGTTTGAACTTCGGGTTTCACACTTACTAGGCAGGTGCTCTACCACTTGAGCCACCCCCCCCCTCCCCCGCAGATCAATTTTCAAAATAAACACAAGTGGAACCCCTTTCACAAAGTAGCTCTGAGAAAACGTTATTTTGAGTGTAAGCCAACACTGGTAAGGAACATAATTCATAACTGTGATGGAGGCACAATCACATTCAGGAACTTTAGAGAAAAAATCAATCATAAACAGTAAATGCTTGTGGAAATACATTACGTGCAGAATAGAGCAGAAAATATAAGATTTATCTAAGCACATATGCTTGTTATTTCCCTGACTTTAATCTCATTTGATATAGCTCATGAAAAACATTTTGTAGTTAAGAATTCAGGGACTCTTCTTTAAATTAAGTTTTTTTTTCCTGTTAAATTTATTTATTTTAAGTCACAAATTAGAATTCACTGAGTTTTCAGATAACTGGAAAATGTGTGTAAATAAAAATTGAGAAAGTTAATCCTGATTACAAACATGTCAGAAGTATCAGATTACAGAAAAAGCTACTATTTCAGCTATGGAGAATTGAGAATGGAATTGAGATTAAACTTAAAAATTTTGTTTACTAAAATAAGTACTTAGGCAAAAACTGGTATTTTGCCCAAAATACCTAATAAAACTCTTCACATTACAGCTAAGAAAAAAAGTGTTGGGAAATCACAAACATAAAATTAGGTAAGACTTTATAAAGCGAGTCTGCATTACCAGCTCAGGGTTAGATGGCCATATTGTGATGACTTCTACATGTGTATCCCCAGAAAGCTTCTCCAAAGGATAATGGGGCATTTGAGTAATATCTGAAGTCAGATATGTGCATGCATGAGAGGCTTACAAAGATTAGTAGTAGAATATGGATGCATACAAACATTATCTGAAACACTCCAGAGAGAGTTAAGAAAAGAAATAATGCAGCTTAAAACAAAACATAAAAAACCTTGGAGCTCCAAAAAGAGTGAAGCTGGTCCCGAAGTGCTGGCTTGACTGTCTGAAAGTTTATAAAAACAAAACCCACTGATTGAACAGTTTCTCATGTGACAGAAATACAAAAATTGTCATAACTTTATTAATAAAATACTTCCATTTCTTACATTGTCTTTTAAGACTTCAAATTTTTACCTTCAAACTTGGTGTTTGGGTCTGATCAACTGTAAATCTCATTAGAATATTAAATTGAAGATCATTTGGAAAAGATTCTCTGAAATAAGAACAAAGCAAAACAAAATAAATAAAATTTAGTTGGCAAGTATGCATTTAACAAACTTCTCAGCAAAACACTAGGCTTAATATGAAAACATATTCAAAAAGCATGCATGAAATAATATTCATGTGATGTTGTCTAGTCTATGTGCTATGGTATACAATAAAAGCACTCTCAGAGAAACAAACATTTGAATTTATATCCAGAAGCAGTATTTAGTAAATAATAGTCTCTCTAGCCTCAACTGTACATTTAATCAGAAAAATGTACTCAGTCAAAAGTTCAGTATTCTCAGACATGTTTCCTAAAATCTGAATTCCAGACTCACAAGTCAACTTAGTAAATGGACATTTGAAATAAGTCACTTCAATAATCTGCTCAAGAAAGTAGAAATATATTAAAGATTCAGTCTTCTGCAAAGAGGTTGTTGAAAAAATAAAAACATTCTTTTAAAACTTAGGATTAAATTAATTTTCAACCCTACATTGCAGATATATCTTCAGTTGATCTTAGCCAAAAAGGCCAAGGTGTGTTTTTTTAAAAATTATTATTTTTTGATATGGGGGTCTCACTATGCTGCCCAAATGGCCTCAATACTCCCAACTAGTTGGGACTACAGGCACATGATACTGTGCCTGTTTTATTTTGGGGACAGGGATCTATGTAGCCCAGGCTAGCCTTGAACTCACATTCCTCCTGCCTCTGTGCTAGGATTACAGGTATTTGCTATCACCTGTGACCTCTACATATACTTTAAGATAAAATGCCATCTTGAATTATCTAATTTTTTTTGGCAATATTAGAATCTGAACTCAAGCTCTCACACTTGCTATCAGGCTCTCCATTACATATCATCTACCTACTTAATGAAAATTTTACAAAATAACAAGTTTGATCAAAGGATCAATGCTGCATTGTATATATATGACATAAATGGGAAAAATTAACAGTTTTGCAATGGGGTCCATGCTGTCTAAGCTATCTGAAAGAGCCAGGCATGGTGGTTCATACTTGTAACCCTAGCTACTCAGAAGTGGAGGCAGGAGGATCCCAAGTTTGAGGCAGCCTGGGCAAAAGGTAGTGGTGAGACCTTGTCTCAAAAAAAAAAAAAGGAAAAGGCCTTGGAGGCTTAGGTCAAGTGGTAAAGAGCTTGTCTAGCATATGTAAGACCCTGGGTTCAGTCCCCAGTATGGCCAAAACAAACAAACAAACAAAACCTGAAAGGACTCAGAAATCTGAACTTTTAATATAAGGACTAAATATTCCTTATTATTATCTGGTAAATGTGAAATATGTCCAGAAAGCATTACCTTGTAACATCAAGGGCTTTCTGAACTTTTGCCTGAACAGAACCAAGCAAATCAGCACCCATTTTTTTTAGCAGTTGTGTCAGCAGTACAAACAACCAATCTTGAAGGTCATCTTTGTGGACTTGTATGAAATCTACTAGAGTCTCCAAAAACATGCTGAACACCTATAGTTGATAAAGGGGAGAGGTGGGAAGAAAAAGGAGGAAATGTTGACCTATATGCTCAATTCAAAACTGAAATAGAAGGGAAAACAGGAATCAGAGGCACAGCGATTGGCAGCCAAGCGGAAAAAAAAAAATCTCTCTTGCTTTTTACTGGACTCTGTGATACAAGAGTACATTTCAGCCGTTATCCAACTTCTGCAGAAGTTTGACAATTAGCTATTCCATGCAGTATCACTTGTAAAGAAACTTTGGCCATAATGGCTGGCACACCTAATATAATTAAAGATGTCACAGCTTAAAGTAGTTAGGCTGACATACATTATATAAGAAATGTAGGAAAGGAACTAGAGTGGCACTGAGTAAATTAGAGGATGACTATACTAATAGCTACCTTAAAGTAAAAACTTATCTGACATAATGGGCTAATTAGAGAATTCTCAGATGTCTCAAATTGATGATACTTAGCACAAACATTTTGGTATGAGATCTATTATTTATTAATACTGCCTCAAAAGTACTTTTAAATGAGCAGTGATAGCTAAAACTATACCTAAAATAAAATAATCCAGGATAAAAGCATACATTTAAATTTTACTAATCTAAAACAGGTCCTAGATGGCAAGTGATTACTCTCCATTAACACCAGTACAGGTGGAGTTTACCTGGTGCTAACATTAATCTGCCAATTAAAAAAATTTCATAAGGTGAAAAACTTTTTTAAGCGGACAGAAGCTAACATTTATAAATGATATTATCTCATTAAAATATTTGTGAGACCTGACCTATGACAAGACTGTATCTCTTCACAAGAAATCTAACACTATACTGGAAAATTTATATCTAGGTAAAGAGGAAAAAAACATTTAAGAGTCTCAGCCATGCTGTATTGAGGAAAATCATAACCAGAGTAGATGATTAAAAATATCTTAAAAGTACTAGGCAATCTCAAAATAACTATGTGAATGTGAGTATTAAGAGTTTGACTTTCAACATTACATTTCTTTAATTTCTTTCATATAGTTTACATAAACTCTATTTTTAGGATTTCCTATTAGAGTTATAACTAAGCTTTAACATTTGAATCTGAATTAAAGATTAAAAAAATACAACTTAGCTATTTGCTTAAGATGCTCTATATTTGTAAAAGCAGAAACTATGGCTTCAAATTTTCTAGTACTGTCTCAGTCCCCAGGCAGTTCTGCTTCAACATTGTTCATACAATGAAGATTTTGGTTAACTGCCATTCCACCTCTCACTCACATACCCCCTCAAAATTCGGCTTCTCTTGGGTTTCAAACTAGGCTGAATGCTTCACTTAGACTGTCTCGGGCTCTTTTCTCAGGGCCCAGAATATTAAGAAACTACTTTAGACTTAGTGTATGCCAAATCTGGCACTCACTCTTATGGCTGCCTGGAAGATCTGTTCTGGGATATCTGGTATTAGTGTGTACCTGCTTGGAGAGTCATCTGTTACATATTCAGGAGGTGCTGTGAGGTGGTTGGTAGCTTGAAATCAAGCCATATTAGAAGAATTTCCACTTTAGAAATTGGCAAGCACTTCAAACAGGGGCTCTTGCTCCTTTCCTCCAAATCTGTTTTGCCAGCACATAACTCTTTTTTTATTCTTTGAATCACATTTGGTCTTGTTTCAACTCTTCCCCAGTCTTCTGAGAATTCCAACTTTACTTTCCCATACGAAAACTCATTTTGAAAATCCTAAGCCATTAGAATGCCTAAGTCTCCCATTTTACGGACTAGAAAATGAAGTGACTTATCTGTTAGGTCGATGGCTTGCTCAGGATTAGCAAGGATCAACTATGTTCTATATAATCTATTACTAGATGGCTTTATTGTCATTCACAAAAAATTTCACTGCCTTTTTCCTTAGTTTGATTTCTTCTATACTCTACATTCTAATAATCCAATTATGATCCAATTCTTTTTAAGACTAATCTTTCTATTCTGTATCTTTTTTCCCAAGAGTCAAACGTTTTTATTGAACATGTTGCAAAGTTTAGTCAAAAAGATCAAAGCCCATGTCATCACAGATTCCTCTGATTCTTCGTTCTTGGCTTCCACTTTCTTCTCCTCAGTTGGGACAGCAGCCGTGGAGGGAGTAGGACCTCCTGCTGAGGCAGCACCAGCTGCTGGAGCAGGACCCCAGCCCCTACATTACAGATGAGACTCCCGATGTTGACAATGGCCAAGGCCTCTGTAAACAGGCCAGGCTAGAACAATTAAACGTTCACACCAGAGACCTTAATGATCTTATCCTCCATGATGGTGACCTCATTGTGCAGCATGAGGGCAGAGTAGATGTAAGTAAGCTCAGAGACTGAGGCCATGGTGCAGACTGTCAGGCACAGTGCTAGTCACCAGATGAAGTGAGGGCCTCACCCCAATGTGGCCTTAGCCTCCTTGGAAGAACCGAGTACCTTGGCGACAGCTGAGGAAAGAGGCTCTATTCTGTATCTTGCTCTCTTGAATTATGGTTTGCTCTTTTTGACTCCTTTATCTAAACCCTTTGTTTACTTTCAACTTCCATTCTATTGCTTCCACCACTTAGCTTCTAATTGTGATGCATAACAGCTTTTTATTAAGTTCCATATATCTGGTCATTCTGCAGCTTGACACTGCTTTCCTTTTATTTCCCTTCTTGTTGCCAGGAATTCTCCTTTTGTTATCTGTGTGTCTTTATTCTGATTCTTTCTTCATCACAAGTGTGACCTGCTAGACTGGGATTCTCTGCTTTATCCTGATAGGCCCCAGAATCTCTAGAGTAGCTTTCTTTGGCCTTCCCAAAGTCTGTTTATCACACCATTGCTGTAGGTACCTAGCACTTCTGACTTCAGATCTGGATTACTGAAATAGCCTAACTTTTCTCTTTATATTTACAAATAACCAAGGCCATCAGTTATCAAATCATTTCTGCAACAGGTCAGATAGTAAATACTTAAGACTTTACAATCAGTGTGGTCTTGCAACTATTCAGCCCTGTTGTCATTGCAGCACAGTGATAGATAATACATACACAAGCTAGGCTGTGTTCCAATATAACTTTATTTACAGAAAATAGGCCATAAGGCAGATTTACCCTGCAGGCTGTGTTTGTTTGTGCATGCTTCTTTCTTATTATCGGGATTGGGATAACCATCTTTGCAATAAAAACAAAATCCTTTGATGTTCTCTCATTATCTATAGGTTTAAACCCCTTGTGAGGTTGCACCATTCCAAACTGATCTTAGATTATCTGGTAATATAGACAATTTCTCCCTCTTCATCTATATCTCAAAACCCACAATTGCTTACTATTTATCCCTCCGGTGCCCCCCACTCCACATTTATTTACATACAGTATATTATTCTCTACAAAGTGTACCAAGAAGGTTTTTGGACTACTTTAGATAAAAGCTACTCATCTTTCCTACACTGTATTATCATTCTACCTGGAACATATACTATTTGGGAATAAAGAATAAAGATAGTCTGTCTGTCTGTCTCTCTCTCTCTCTCTACACACACACACACACTCTCTCTCTTTTTTTCTGACAGGGTCTCGCTATGTAGCCCAGGGTGGCCTTGAGGCTCAAAATTTTCCTGACTCAACCTCCCTAGTGTTGGGATTATAGGCAGGTGCTAAATTCAAAACCATGTATTTCTACAATCTTGTATCACCAATTAGAACCACATTCTAAATTATTTATAGGCTGAGGAGCCAGTAAAAAGTTGTTCAATGAACATAAGGGTGTTCTACAAGTAAAATTTACCTTATAATTAGTTGTCAATCCTTTTCTCTACCAGAATGAAGACTTTCCCTTCATTCTAGCCAAGATTAACTCCTTTTTCTTTCCTATAAACTCCCTGGCATCTCCCACTTCTTTTTCTGGACTCATTAAGGTCAGTCTTGGGAGGCCCTTTCTCCTATTGCTGACCCAGTCAAAGCTTAAATTTCTGTTAAGATCTTAAATGCTTTCCTTCCAGAAGACTTCAGTGAGTTTCCAAAGTAGAAATTTCTTTTGGTTAGAGATAATGAGAATAGCTGAATAAAAATGTAGATGTGCAATTTATAGCACTCTACACATAGAACTGTACTATTACTTTTGCTTTTTTGCTGTGCTAGAATTTGAACTCAGGGCCTCATACTTGCTAGGTACGTGGCTCTACTACTTGAACCACTCCACCAGCCTACTATTATTTTTTAAAAATACTTATATCCTATCAATGGTACTTACTAAATGATCCTATATGCACATACATGTGTGTGTGTATGTATGTATGTACATATATTTATATATATGAAATTATACACAAAATTTTTTATTGATGGCATAAGGGGTTCCTCTGAGATACTAATATTCTAGGAATGAAAATTTTATTTCACAAGATAAAGCTGAGAATCTGCTCTGGTATGCTTTTACTGAATGACAATGACAGAATTTTAGAAAGTGCATGTGGGGAATTAGGAGCTAATTTTTTTTTCCCGGCACTGGGGTTTGAACTCACTCTTGCAAGGCTTGGGAATTATCTTTAACTGTCAATGGAATCAATGTATAATTTCATTATAGCTCACAAGTATAATTTGTTGAGAAAGAATTAAATATATAAAGTATTACAATTGAGGCAGCCTTTTCTTATACTCTCTTTCTTAGGTGTGCCAGTCATCAAATATAGAAAAGAACATAATCAAATTAGATTAATTAGTAGATTAAAAAGCACATCTCCAAACAGAATGGCAGTTTTCATAACTGCAAATAGCATCTCGTGGATTACGAAGGGTCCAACACTGCATGAACTCTTCAGGAAAGAAAACAGAGAAAAAGGGTTAATGTCACAGTCATGCAGCAAAGTTAGGTTTCTAACAAATATTGAACCAACTTACTCTCTATTGAGAGTTCCAACACAGGGGACAGCATGCAAAAAGAAAAAAAGAAAAAAAAAGAAAAACACACAAATTAGTCGCCATCAATGCAAAGTTCCTGTATGAAAGAAAAACACTTAGAAAATAAAAGTGACAAACGTTCAAAGTTTTATGATAAAATCAAAAATGATCTTAAAACAAGAGTTAAATGAATAGCATGGAAGAAGAACATGATTTTCCTAAGTTTCTCTTTTAACTCTTTGCCAAAGAAATTAAAAAGAAAAGGAAACAAAAGCTTTTTCTTTTATATATTCTATCCTTGAGGCTCAACTTCTGGAAAGAATCCAAGAATAACAGGAGTTCACTCCCATTTTTGAACAGTGTCAACGTTTGGTTCCCAACCACAGTATCAAGAATTTTCTCCCTACTTTCCCCTTACCCCGAAATAATACTTTCACAATTAATTAAATGACTATTTAATTAAATGACTAATTAAATAATCTTGGGACAATTACTATTGTACGGATGCTGGCTTCAAACTTAGCTTCTCTATCTCTCTGTTTCCTAAGCAGTTGGGATTACAAGTGTGACCCTCCATGGCCAGCCCAGCTCACTTATTTTCATACTGTACAGTTGGTCCTCTGTATCCACAGATTCAACATACATTGTTTCAACTAATTGTGAACTGAAAACATTCAGAAAAAGGCTGATCTGTACTGAACATGCACAGATTTTCTTCTTATTACCTTTCTTAAACAATATAGTACAACAACTATTTGTATTAGGTATTATAAGTAATCTAGAGATGATTTAAGGTGTTCAGGAGGATGTGTATTGGTTATATGCAAATATTACACTGTTTTATATTAGGGATTTTACTATGGGCAGATTTTGGCATCTGCAGGGGGTCCTGAAATCAAGCCCTCATGGATTCTGGAAGACAATTATACATAAAGTAAAAAAGTTAGTTTATCAAATTATAGACATCAGATAATTTCAACTTGCAAACTAGCACATTCTTTCTTTCCCAGGAAAAAGCCTGCATCTACTTTGATTATATTCAAAAAGTTCTTTTCCAGGCCTTCCTTTCTGGGATGTCTGCAATGCATATTACAGGATGTCTGGTATTTTGGTTGCACACAGACCCTTTGCCCAAAAAACATCACAAAAACATTCTGGGGGCTGGAGCAGGTTCTCCTAGCTGAAAGGATATGGGCTTGCTGCTCATAACCTTGTTCTCTAAGTGCTCTGTTTATGCTGGGCACAAAGGTGGTTTCAACTATGTAGGAAAAAATGAGACCAATCTTTACTTATCAAAGAAGTCAGATATTATCCAGAACCTGTTAACATAGAGATTGAAAAAAAGGGAGGGGAGCTACTATCTACTTTAGTAATATCATGATATAATGCAAAAACACAAACCAAACCCTGACATTTTAAACTCAACATAATGTGGTCACATGTCTAATTTATTCCCAATGAATTACATTACTGGCAGAGCCACTGATGGATAGTCACCAAACAAAATTAGAAATCTTCCTAAAAATCTCCCCATCACATTTTTCCTAAGCTGACTAAAAAATCTCAAACCCTAAACAACAAAAAACAAAACAAAACAGATGGGTCAATAAAAATTTTATGTTATTGTAAGACCCTAAGAAGGAAAATTAAGAGTCACCTTCTTGATTCAAATCTAAGAAGTATAGCTCGTTCTCTACATCTATTAGGGGAGGCCAAACATTTGTATTCTGTTCAGTTCAGTTCCTTTACCATGTCAAACTCAGCTTTCCTATTTGAAATTTAAAAAGTATTTCTTGTTATCACTGCACAGATCCTGGCATCCAACTAAATTGCACTGATGTCCTAAAAAGAGTAAAAAATTGTGACCTTAAGAAATAATTCAGCCTCAGTCTTATACTTTTTGGTAGTGACAAATTATATCATTTCTTGAAAGTATATTTTTCAGGGTTGTATATACTATTAAGATGTTATTTAGTTAAAAAAAATCTTCACCCAGAAAACTGTCTCATTCTTTGGCTGACATTGCCATTTAAAATGATTAAAGGTTAATTTGCTTAGAACCTATAGGAATTTTTGCATTAAAATGAGTCCTACATCTGTAATTAGTACAGGAACTATAATACAAAATAGTAAAATGATCTAGAATTTCAGTTTGAAATTATAAACTTAAAAAAGTTTAGTGGGATTGGGGGATGTAGTTCAAATGATACAGCACCTACCTAGCAAGTGCCAGGTCCTGAGTTCAAACTCCAGTACCACCAAAAAAAATTTTTTTTAGCATATGAATTATTTACTAAATGTAGTTGTTTTTTTAAAAATCTTTTAATGGAACTGTTTATCCTCAGATAAAATACATACACCTCTGATGGAGGAGAATCTTTGAAAAATACTGTTGTAAAGTCTAAGCAATTTACTTAAGTAAGTATATACCCCAAATAAGATTTAACTCTTTAAGCTGGATTTCAGTTATGTATAAAGTGAGCTTTTAATACTTATAAAAATAGTTTCATAAGTAGTGAAAATATCAAAAATAGAAAAATGAGGAAATGATGTGTACAAAATAAGTGAAGAAATTAAAAACACAATTGAATCAATTAATATCTTTCTTATACTTTTATTGGCACATCTCCCTTTCACTGAGGTTAGAAATTCTTCTGCAGATATTTGGTATCCTAAAGGAAAATACATTCTAAGGTTTTTCCACTGTAAAACACATTGCTGGAAACAGAAGAACTAAACAGAGATTTATAACAGCATTATTCATCAAGGTAAACCAAAATTTCACAGAGCACCTGCTAATTATGCATAAGTACTTAAAAACATATATATTTGGATGAAAAATAAAAGCTGAACAAAGTTCTAAAAATTTTTTGTTTCTTTTTTGGTGGGGCTGCAGTTTGTACTTAGGGCTTCTACCACTTGAACCACACCTCCAGTCCATTTTGATCTAATTATTTTGGAGATGCAGTCTTGAGAACTATTTGCTCAGGCTGGCCTGGAACTGTGATTCAACAGATCTCAGCCTCCCAAGTAGCTAGGATTACAGATGTGAACCACTGGTGCCCGGCAAGTTCTAAAATTCCTATCTATTATTTCAAGGTATGAAAGAGTTCTTCTTTTACTATGGTTAGAGGTATATTTTGTGCTTTTGTGTTTTTTAATGTAAGTCTATCCTACAAAATGTTCTTTCAAGATAAGAATATAATTAATGCTGTAGTAATCAAAGAAGAAAACTGAATGAAATGTTAGTAACTTTTTCAACTTACCCCAATTATATCCTTTATAATATAGTCAGAGTCAGTGTACTTTGTATTGCTAAGAATATTTCACAATTTTACCCTTCAGTTTTCATTGTCAGTCTCTCTTTAGAGAAGATTGAACAGTTACCAAACAGCAATTAGTAAATTAAGTATGATATCAAACAATTTAAAATTATATTTGAAAATATCACTATTGTTTTAGGGAAGTAATAAAGCAAAAATGGCTTATACTTTTCTACTATTATTTTACATCTTTTTTGGATACCCTATAGCAGTAAATAATATTAAATATTAAAACATACCTTGCCATGAGGGTCAGCAAACATTCTGGTGAAAATTTCACACAATCTTTTCAGTTCAACTCGACTGCCAAAAATAATAAAATGACAGAAAAGTTATTATCTTGCTATAGGATAACTTACATAAAAATAACCTTATCTAAAATTAAATTTATTAACAATAACAAAAAGTTTAAAGAAATCAACCCCTAAAACTGGGAAATTTTTGGGATTTACCATTTAGGGCTGAACAGAAAGTTATTGAACACAGTAATAATTCCGTTATAACCTATACTATTTTAAAGGTTGGAAGTGAATATCATAATCATGTCCTCTAAAGTCAGGAAGACCAAGGGTGTCCACTCTCTTCACTTTTATTCAACATAGTCTTGGAATTTCTAGCCAGAGCATTAAGATCAGAAGAAGAGATAGAAGGAATTCAAGTGGGAAAGGAAGATATGAAGCTATCTCTATTTGTAGATGACATGATCATATACCTAAAAGACCTGGAAAACGCCACCAAAAAACTCCTAGACATCATGAACACCTTCAGTAAAGTAAGCAGGATACAAAGTAAAGTAGCAGGATACAAAAATCAGTTTACAAAAATCAGTAGCCTTTGTATATACTAACAATGAACAAACTGAGAAAGAATATAAGAAAACAATTCTATTTACAATAGCCTAAAAAAAAAAAAAAACCTAGGAATAATCTTAACAAAGGAAGTGAAAGACCTCTACGGTGAAAACTTTAAACCACTGAAGAAAGAAATCTCAGATGACTTTAGAAGATGGAAAGATCTCCCATGCTCATGGATTGGCAGAATCAATACTGTGAAAATGGCTATATTACCAAAAGCAATTTACATATTCAATACAATCCCCATCAAAATTCCAATGACATTCATCACAGAGATTGAAAAATCAACCCTAACATTCATTTGGAAACACAAAATACCAAGAATAACCAAGGCAATACTCAGCAAAAAAAAAGCAGCACTTGAGGTATCAAAGTATCTGACTTCAAACTATACTACAAAGCCGTAGCAAGAAAAACAGCATGGTACTGGCACAAAAACAGATGTGAACATCAATGGAAAAGAAAATCCAGCTATGAATTCATGCAGCTATGCCCACTTGATTTTTACAAAGAGATCAAAAACATATGATAGAAAAAAAGCCAGCCAACAAATGTTGCTGAGAAAACTAGATGACTGCATGTAGAAAACTAAAACTAGATTCATGTCTTTCACCCTGTACAAATATCAACTGAAAGTGGATTAAGGACCTTAATACAAGACCTGAAACTTATAAACTAGAGCAGAAAAAAGTAGGGAATACAGTGGAATTTATAGGAATGGGCAATAAGTTCCTAAATAGTACTCCAAAGGTTCTGCAACTAAGAGAAGGATTGACAAATAGGACTACATGAAATTAAAAAGGTTCTGTGCAGCAAAAGAAATGGTCACCACATTGAAGAGGCAGCCCACAGAATGGGAGAAAATCTTTGCCAGCTGTATATCTAACAAGAGATTTCAGAATATATAGGAAGCTCAAAAAACTAAACTCCCCCAAAAATCAATGACTAAAAGAAGAAATGAGAACACGAACTGAACAGAGCCTTTTCAAAGGACAAAGTTCAAATGGCCAAAAAAAAAAAAAACCACAAGAAATTCTCAATATCCAAGGCCATAAAGGAAATGCAAATCAAAACCACACTAAGATTCCACCTCACCTGTCAGAATGGCTACCATCAAGAACACAAACAACAAATGTTGGTGAGGATGTGGGAAAAAAGGAATCCTCATACACTGCTGGTGGATATGAAATTAGTACAATCACTATGGAAAACAGTATGGAGGCTACTCAGAAAACTAAAAATAGAACTGCCATGTGATCCAGCAGTATCATTCCTAGGGATATACCAGAAGGAATGTAAGTCAGGTTATAATAAAGGCACCTGAGCACCAATGTTTATTGCAGTATTATTCATAATAGCTAAGCTATGGAAACAGCCAGAAAGAACCAAAACTGATGAATGGATTATGAAAATGTGGTATTTATATATAATGGAATTTTTTTCAGCTACAAAGAAGAATGGAATTTTGTTGTTTGTAGGTAAATGGATGGGACTGGAGAACTATCTTAAGTGAAGTTAGCCAGACTCAGAAAGCCGAAGGCTGCATGTTTTCCCTCATATGTGAAATATAGGCTCAAAACAAATACAACCAATATTATATATACACACAAATATATACAGAACATGTATTCAAAAATGGAACTGACAGAAGAAACTAAGGAAGGAGGAAAAGGAGGAAAGACAGCAAATATGAAATGCATCACATCTCTGTAGGAATGCACAGCAAATAATAATGAAATGCATCACATCTGTGTATGAATGTTCAGCGAAACACATTGAAAACAAGGGCAAGGAAGTGCAGTTGAGGGGGGATTACATGACTTAAGCACAATGCATGAACAGGTACAATAACAAGGCAAAAATCCCACTGAAAAATGAACAGACACCTAAACAATGAAGATAAGAATGAAAAACAGGTTATGCTAATGGGAGGGCAGTAATAGGAGAGGGAGGGTAAAAGAAGGAAAGAAAGTGAATGTGGTTGATGTACTTTCTATACAAGAATGAATATAGTATATTTAAATTTGTTGTAATCACCATAAGAAAGGGACTAAGGCTGAAAGAAGAAAAATGGAGGGGATGAACAAATTTGGGATATAATACATATACACATGGAAATGTCATAATGAAACTCTTTGTATAGCTATCTTAAACAAACAAAAATGTCTTTTTTTTCAAAATGAAGGTCAGGAAGGTAAAAAAAGGTCCTGTCTGGGTTCTGGTACCAGTGAGAGGTGGGAGGATATAAGGAAAAGGTGAAGGAGGACAAATATAGTAGAAATATTATGTACTCATGTATGAAAATGGAATAATGAGACCTGTGGATCTGTTTTAAGAAAGTGGGGAGGGCCAAGAGCTGGTGGCTTATGCTTGTAATCCTAGCTACTAGGAGGCAGAGATCAGGAGGATTATGGTTCAAAGCCAGCCCAAGCAAAGAGTTCATGACACCCTGTCTTGAAAAAACTCATCACAAAAAAGGGCTGGTGGAGTGGCTCAATGTATAATAGGTCATGAGTTCAAATCCCAGTACTGGAAAAAAAAAAAGATAGAGGGGACGGAAAATAAAGGAGAATGATGGAGGGGGTGAATCTAACTAAGATATATTGTAAGCTCTTTTGTAAATGTACCCCCAGTACAATAATATGCCAATTAAAAAAATTAATCCCAACCAAAAAAAAAAAGGGGTATAATATATATTTCACTAATAAATAAATATATATATATATATATATATATATATATATATATATATTTCACTAATGTAGCAAAGAGAGAAAATTACACAAGTGGCATTCTTAGTATACAAATCCCATTCTTTTAAATATTAGGATGTTTTCTTAAAATTCACCATTTCAAGGCTAAAAACTTTTCTAAATTCTTCCCTATTCCCTTTCTCATTTAAAATGATATACTGAACCTAATAATCTTAGTGGCTCTAGGAACAATATCATAATGATTTACTGTTAACTATAGGTGTCAACTATAAAGGATTAAAACATTACATAGAAAAGGACAATAAGGACACAAAGGAAAAGAAAGCTAAAGCCATCAGAAAAGGGAAGAAAACCCCAAATCCTACAGTCAAAATGAACTTTTGTCCTTCGAATTCCATTACATGAACACCTAGAATATGTACCATAAACATCCGTTCTTTTTGTTGATACCAGTCAGTTTTATTACTACACACACACACACACACACACACACACACACACACACGTGCGCGCACACATACACAGTTTTCTATGTGTGTGTGGTGCTGGGGATCAAACCCCGGGCCTTGTAAATGTTAGGCAAGCATTCCACCAGAGTTATACCTCCAGCCTTTATTTATTTTAATTTCTAAAATTAACATCTTTCATGAAGAAGAAGGTTTGTTTTAAACTGTGTCCTTAAATACAGGAAGAAAATTAAGACAATTTTAGTAAATTATAATACAGATATCTGGTCCTAAGGGACTCTTACATAACCTCAGAATTCAGGATAACACTGTTTCTATATAAGTCTCTAAGTGTTACAGAACCAAACTAAAGTCAAAAATAATTATTTTAAGACAACACATCTCACCTTAGAGTTCTCTGATTTTTTAATAAGTTCTGCAGACCCAAGAGGCCTTCCTTCCTTTCTGACCAATTAGAACTAGCACATCTATTGAGAACTTCTGCCACATCTTCTGTCTGCCTCATATATGTAGGGATACTACCATTTCGAGAACTGTAAGAGCGTTCGGAACAAGCACTAGAAGCATCACTATTGGCATCATCATCTGAGTGCATTCCATATGATTCATATCTTCTTCGAGCAGGTTTTTTCTGTTACACACAAAAAATTTCATCAGTAGTAGTTAAAAATTGTATTGATATTTCATAAAGTCTACTGATCACAAAAGAAATTATTTTTCTTATTAGCAAACCCAAATACTTAAAAGGATTTGTTTTAAAATCAGTGTAGAACATGCTGCTAATCATTGTAATGACAACATGTCAATATTTAGGTTTTTTTTGCTCAGGAAACATGTTTTAAAAGTTAGTAGAAGGTGAAGTATTATTTAAATATGGGAAGTGGAAGAAGTAGAGTAAGATTATATGGAAGTTCGGATGCACAAAGAAGGAAGCGCTCAGTATGTATTTTTTTCCTTTTCATTGGAAATTGAGAACTACTAAAATGTAATTTAATACAAACTTTACAAGAAATATGAGTTGGTAATAAAAAAATTGTCTTTTTAAAGGAGAACTACAATGAATCAGGAAAATGTCTGCTTTTCCAGACGTAAAGTATCTCATTCTTTCCTGCCTCTTTAATCTCCTTCTTTCCTATTCTTTTACCTCCACTACCACTTCTCTTGCCATTCTTCCTTCCCTTGAATCCAACCCTCATGTCTCCTAAAGAAGTAAAATACAAGCAAAAGATGTAAGAAACTGTTATTACTATTATTTTTAGAAGGTAAGATCCTTAAGGACTTTCCTCCGTTTCTTCATTACTATTATTTTTAGAAGGTAAGATCCTTAAGGACTTTCCTCCGTTTCTTCAGTACATATAAAATGGCTCTTTCAATAAATATCAGAAACCATATTCAGATTCCTTTAATTTCTTTATACCTAAGGTTTATACTTTAATGTATGTAACTGTCAACTATATCTTGCATATTAAAAGTGACAAGAGGTAGCGTAAATAGCTCACATGAGACTTCCTTGGAAGAATTGGAAACAAATCTCTATAATCTGATGTTTGGATTTTGGCTGGTGTGCGTGAAGGTACTTCTATAAAACACTGTAAGCACAACAATTTAAAATAGTTCCAAGTATCTATAAGTACTCTGCAGACCAAAATCTAAAAGAAATGTGATCTGATCTGAACTTCAACAGTCCAAATAGTTTTATAATGATGTTTCTGTTACTTACTGCTCTCATTTTTAATTTAGAGTGTTAATACTGTGATGTTTCCTGTGTTGGGCTCCAAATTAGTTTTATTACAGACATAAGTGTAAATGACCTCATCTCATTTGTGAAAAAGTTGGACTGAAAAAAACAGCACCTAAGACACTCTAGTTAAGATAATCACAGTTATAGAAAAGCAGATGTATGTCTAAGAATTTTATTACTTCCATTTTAATTTTTTATAGAAGACCATCATCTGTTAAACTGATGAAGCAAAGAAAAGTTATGGTATCATAAAATGTCAAAAAACAGCAATGTCTATACCTTAGTCCGTATGTCTCCTAAGAGCTGAGAGCAGTAAATTTTTAAAGAGAGAAATTGAAAATAATGAAGAACAACACAGTGAAGTAGGCATTAACAATGCCCATGATTAGAAACATTAAGTTTTTTTTAACATATATACAAAAGAACTGCCTATCATGTTTAATCTTATTAATATCCTTTATTTAGTTCAATTCAAAGAAAAATACCTAAGCTAGAAAAATATTCCTGTAACCAGTTTTCCCAAAGAAACTCAAATACTCTTATCTGTATCCTTTTACCATTACCAAATTTAATTTTATTTCCCCAGGTCAAGATTAGGTTTAACTGTCGGAAGCTTTTTTCCTAAAAATTGATAATTGTAACTGAAATATCTGTGCTATGCAACTAACAGAAGTAGAATATTATTGGGAATTCACTTTTAATCCTTCATAGTTAAATATTCCTATGTAATTCAAACATCATCTTAGTATAATAGCTCAAGAAAAAACCCATCTAATTCATAAAACTTACAGAAGTAGAATTTAATTGGTAAATAATTCAATAAAAAACTAGGGAACATGATTTAAAAAATACACTGATGAACTTAAAACATCTAACTAATTAAGTATCATCCTAAAAAGAAGTTATCAGTATATCCCAGGAAAGCCAGGAGGATCATGGTTTGAGGCCTGCCTACATGACTGTGCGCTCTTGTCATCCCAGCTTGGAGGGAAGTGCAAATAGAATCGTAGTAAAGGCTGGACGGGGCATAAAAGCAAGACCCTATATGAAAAATATAAAAAGGGCTGGGAGCATGGCTTAAGTGGAAGAGCACCTGCCTAGCAAGCACAAGGCCAGAAACCCTCAGTATCACCAAAAAAAAAAGCATTATAATAACACTGGTTAAGATGTAATTTAAATTTTTTTTAGTAGCATAATATATTTTCTAAATTTCAAAACAAGCTGGGTGCTACTGGTTCACGCCTGTAATCCTACCTACTTGGGAGGCAGAGATCAGGAGAAGAGAGATTTAAAGCCAGCCTGGGCAAATAGTTCTCAAGACGCCATTTCAAAAATACCCAACACAAAAAAGGGCTGATGGAATGGCTCAAGTGAGAGAGTGCCTGCCTAGCTAGTGAGGTCAAGTTTAAGCCCCAGTACTGCTGCCCCCCAACCAAAAAAAAAAAAAAAAAAAGACAAGGGATGGGGTTGTAGCTCAGTAGCATTTATTCAGAATGCAGGAGTCCTGGTTTCCATCCCAGCAGTGGAAAAAACCAAAACCAAAAACAGTGAACTAAAAACAAAGCTGAGGCCTTTTATAAATTCTGGGTAAGAAATTGAATAAATCTGTATTAGGCCCTGGGTTCAATCCCCAATAACCCTCTCCTCCAAATGAGCAAATGGTTCTTAAACAGGATAAATATTGTAAATTCATAATCTGAGTCACTCTTTTTTTTTCTTTTAATGCTGAGAAATTCAGGGCCTTGGGCATGCTAGGCAAGTGTTCTATAGCCCCAGCCTTAATCTGTAATTTGAAAGAAGAAGTGTCATACTGAATTGATTTGGGAAATTAGCTAAACAAATTATACACATCATTTCAAAAGAGTCATCCTTCATAATTTTCAGTGAGAACAGTGAAAATGTTGTCTACATATCTATGTTGTATACCACTCTTCTGATAAACTACCACGAATCTTTAAAATAGGTTTTTAAACCTCATTGTTTCATGTGTCAGGCATAAAGAACTTGGAAGATATCTTCGTTATAATTTGCCTGAGGCTGTACTTTCAGCTCAGAAAATACAAGTAATTAAAAGACTAAACAAAAGCAGCCCCTCAACTAAAACAACTCCTACACACTCAAGGTTAAGATAGCCTTGAAATACATGCCTGTAAGTGACATATTTCTATAGCAATCTATCTCCTCTTACATTCAGTATAGTACAGAGCAATAAAAATAATACTATATTAAAGATATCAATAATAGTTACGTTCCCAGCACCCCACCAGAGTTACTACTATTCCTGGCTTAACATCCTGAATAATTAGTAAGAATCAGTAATTATACTGCTGTGCTTTTTACATTGCTCACATCTGTCTTAGATTTAATCTAGAATTTTCCCATTCTTTCTCCTATGCAGGTGAAGGCTTACTCATGAACTGTTGTCGTAATTGGAATATTTATAATGACAGAGAAATGGAAAAGAGTACCAAAGCATCAGCTACAGCCTCCTCCACATCGGAGCCTGTGTTCAGGACTCGCATGGCACTGACAGAGGATGACAGCCGGCTTGACTGACTGATCCCATAACCTGGACCTAATACATTAAAAGAAGGAAAACAGCTTTGAGATGGTCATAAATGTTAATAGTATCAGGCTGGGAAACTTTAATACCCTAAGGGAAAGGGGAAAAAAAAAAAAAACCAATGGCAAAGCATTTTAAAAGCAGTATCATATTTTCTGGGCACACTGAATTTTTTTTGTCAACTAAAAGGGTAAAGGCAATTAAAATTATTGACAATGTGTAGAAAATAAATTTAAAGAATAGCAACTTATTTATGACTACCAGGTACAAGAAAGAGTGGCTGGAAGACTAAGGGCTTTGACATTGATAGCCCTATAGTTAATCCAGCTCTGTCAGTTCAGGCAAGTCTCTACATGTGGGTGAACCACCAACTAATCCAGAATAACGATCAATCCTCAACCAATAATGGTTAGGGAGATCAATGAAGTCACCAGCAATTCACCAGAAAGAAAAGCTCAATGATAGTATCTCCTTCAAGATAAGTTGATTTTATTCCGTAACTAAGATAGATCATTCAGTAACTATTAAGTGGCTACCTTGTGCCCGGCACAAAGACAAACCAAAAAGATGAATTCTCCCTCTCAACTGCTTTGTACACCATCATTTACAATTAAAACACTTCATCCACCATTTTGGTTTTTTTTTTTAAACACACATATAATGATGAAGAACATAACTGAAAACATGAAACAATTCTATATTTAAAAATGACATAACAGGTTACACAAAACAGAAAAGTCCTTCTGCTAGTGAGAAAAATGCTCAGTAAGGGTGCTGAAGGGGAAAAAGTTACTTGGGAGGGGGGAAAACAAGTGATTATTCTCCAGTAAATTAAAAAAAAAAAACAAATCAATTTATAAAAGTGAGTATTATTCAATGAAAACTGAAAAGGACAAAATCTGAAATGAATGCATAGATCATAGTGAAAATGTACTCATCCTTCACCTGAGGCCCCATACACATCGGGGGCGTAGAGGGCACCAGTAGATCTGGAATGGTGTCTGGAAGCTGGAATAACAGGACCATACAAACCTCATCTATTACCACAGAAACAAGGAATAGTGGCAGCACTAATGTCAGGCAAGGAGAGTTAGTTAACATTGACGTTACTCTTAATAGTTAATGATCAGAATACTGCCAAATATGGCAATTAAACATTAGCATTTCAAAATTGTCCCTGACACACAAATACAACTTACACCTAAGTGGACATACGAGGCCTATAAGAGACAAAAAAGGCAAATATTCAAATGGAAGAAAATGTCAAAAAATACAAGCATGAAAACAAAAAAAAACAAACACTGTAGTTAAAAAAAAACCACTATGGTAACTAGTAATTAATAATAATCTTATCTCCTTTAATCTTGACACCCAAAGAGAGGTAAATATTATTATTGAATTTTATAGGTTTAATTGTTTGCCTCTCTTATTCATATGTTGAAATCCTAATCCCCAAGAAGAAGGCACTAGGTGGTGGGTGGGCAAAGCTCTCATGTACTTTTTATAAAGGAGACTCCAGAGAGCTAGGTGTAGCTCCTTCTATCACGTAAGGACATAGCCACAGCCATCTGAATATGCTGGTACCTTGATCTTGGACTTACTAGCCTCCAGAACTATGAGAAACAAATTTGTCATTTGTAAGTATTTGTTACAACAGCCCGAACAGACTGAGACAGATGGGGAAATTAGGGCACAAAGAAGTAATTATACAATCAAAGCCTCAAAATCTGTGTTCGTTCAGGGCTCTGCTCTTAAAAAGCACAGACCACTGTTGTATTGTTCAAAAGATAACATACCTTATTTGTGTTAACATACATTTTTCACAATGATATGGAGAATAAAGTTGTTCATTTAGTAGATTACTTAAAAATCAAAGCACATCTAAATATCAAAAAGGAGTATCAAGACAGGTTCCAATGGCTCATGCCTGCAATCCTAGCTACTTTGGGAGGTTGAGATCAGGAGAATCAAAGTTCAGTTCAAGGTCTCCTCAGACAAAGAGTTTGTGAGACCCCCATCTCCAAAATAATCAGAGCAAAATGGATGAAGTACGGCTCAAGCGGTAGAGCACATGCTTTGCAAGCACAAAGCCCTGAGTTCAAACCCCAGCCCCGCCAACCCCCCCAAAACTCCTCTCAAAAAACCCCCCATAATTTAACAAAAAAGCTAAAAATTTGTGACGTGTCCTTATACTGTTCTAGAATCAAAATACATATTTTGCATTATAGATCTTAAAATTTTTGATTTCTATAACAACACAAAGTCAATATTAATATTTGTCCATCATATAAAAATAAACTGCCAGGAAAACGCGTTTTAATATTTAGTGAAATATACTACTTTCACTTTAAAAGTTAGTCTTCTTCAGATGTATTAATCAGAGCCCTTAAAATTTCCTTTGCTACAGGATAATCATAATGAAAAAAAAATGATAAAAAAGATCCAAGGAAAGAGGATTAAACAGAGAGAATGCTGCACAAAATGGTTAATAAGTACTGAAAGGTGACTAAGTTAAGTCAGTAAACTATTTACCTAACAGAAATCATTTATAAAATAGTGAGAAAGATGAGTGAATTTGCAAGTGCCTAGTATCTGAGCTAAATGTCTCAGAGAACCAAAAATTAACCACTTGAAGTTCTATACTAAGTCTATCTGAGGAAGAATTACAACAGACAACTAGAATAACTGTATACTACTTAAGAGTCCCAAACTTTTTTTTTTTGTGATACTAGGGTTTGAACTAAGGGCTTCACGCTTGCAGATCCTCTACCAATTGAGCTATTCCACAAGCCCTTTTGCAAACTACCAACCTAAGCTGGCCACGAATCACAACCCTCCTGATCTCTTTCTCCCAAGTAGCTAGGATTATAGGTGTAAACCACCTGCACCCAGTTCATGCCAAATTCTTGAAGAGCAATTCTCTGAGTATTACAGTAAGCTATATGTTTCAAAGAAAAAAATGTGAAATGGCCACAGGATTGTGCATAGAAGCAAAGTACAAGTTAAAATTCTGAATGGTCATAGAGAAATTCTAGATTCTCAATGTAAAAACTTATGCCTCTCGACTTATCCTAAAAACACTAAAGGTTTAAAAATATATCTAATATTTTTATAATTGAGGTAAGTATACTATTATAATCAAAGTTACAATATAATCTCAATGATCAGGAACAATCAGGTTCATAGCAGTGATAAAACATGAGCTCCTATATGGAAAAGATTGTCAAACTATAAAATACTATAAAAATATTAATCCCTCCCACTGATATTGTAGTTTGTAGAAATTTTTTCTAGAAACCTACATTACTACATTAAGTACTCTAAGTTGAAAAGATAAATTATAGTTTATCAAACTAAACAGCACATATTTCAGACTGAGTACTTTTTTCTTTTCATTGCTGGGGTTTGTACTCAGGGCCTCCATCTTGAGCCTTGAGCCACTCCACAAGCCTTTTTTGTGTTTTTTTTTTTAAAGATAGGGTCTTGTGAACTATTTTGCCTGGGCTGGCTTTGAACTACAATCCTCTTGATCTGCCTCCTGAGTTGCCAGAATTATAGGCGTGAGACACCAGCACCTGGCCAGAGTGAGTAATATCTTTAAATTCTCTACAATGATTTAAATCTTGAATTCAATATTCTTTTGTTTTGTTTGTTGAGACATGGTCTTACCATGTAGTCCAGGTTGGCCTTGAATTTGTAATCCTCCTGCCTTAGCTGTCTGAGGGCAGGGATCAAATTAAGTGTTCTAAAGTTTGCATCTGGCTGGGCACTGTGGCTCTTGCCTGTAATCCTAGCTACTCAGGAGGCAGAAATCAGGAGGACTGTGGTTCGAAGCCAGCCTGAGGAAATAGTTCCGAGACCCTATCTCGAAAAACCCATCACAAAAAAGGGTTGGTGGAGTGGGTTCAAGGTGAAATCCCTGAGTTCAAGCTCCAGTAGTTCAAAAAAGTTTGTACCTATGTGACATTACTTGATTATGAAAGCAATTTGTTTACATGATGACTGACTTTGCTCTTTCAAGACACTTAAATAAGGTCAAAAGCATTTCCCAAACATATAATTTCATAGTCAACAATGAATGCTGGCTTCCAGGTATACAGAGGTTCTCAGATGGCGATATTGCAAGAGGGAAGCAGTGTACCTCACAGCTGTCCAAAAACTCACCGAGGGGCTGAAAAGACCGGACTGGACTTGTGTCCCTGCTGCTTTCCCGACTAGCTTCCCGGCTGCATCCTTGACTCACGCTTGGCCGAGGAATGCGACTACTTCGGGCTGGCAAAACACACAGCAAGGAAGAAAACAGAAGACAAAGTACAGGGTTTTTAAAATTTTGGTTTTATTTGTTCTTTCTTAAAAACTGACTGTTAACTTAGGCTGAAAAATTATTATGTCAGTACTGGGAATTTAAGTCAGGACATGAGCCTGCTAGGCAATGGCACTCCAACATGAACCACGCCTGAGTCCTTTAGTCTTAGGGTTGCTTTTCAGGTAAGTTCTGGCTAAACTTCTGTGCTGGCTGACCTTGAACCTCAATCAAGCGTGTGGCACCACTCTCGCCCAGCTGGGGAGAGAAATGACTCTAGATAAAGAGTCATTTAAAACCAAAAATACAAGTAAGTTTCTTGAATATGGTTTGTTACTTTCTAGGAGGTTAGAGGCGTAAAAGAATGCTTTAGTAAAAGAAAAAGGCCAAAAGTAAAAAAGATTTAAAATATTGTTCAACATATACAGTAAAACTCAAATTTTTTCTTTGTTAAGTGAACTACAGACTTCTTTCACTTTTGGTGTCTTAGGTCAAAATCTTTTTAATAGAAAGAAAAATCTATACATGTCAAATATTAACCAAAGAACAATTCCTGTTCTTTGGTTTTAAAGTTCTAAACAAAGAAGAAAAATGAGCCATGCTTTCAAGTCCCACTCCTGAGAAAACAGAAAGACAGGCTAGAGGTAAGGATCAGTGGTAGAGTGTTTGCTGGGTAAGCATGCTGCCCTGATTTTAAAGCAGTACAGCTTTAAAAAAAAAAAAAGACCATGTTGTGCTTAGTAGCTAGCGCCTGTGCAATCCTAGCTACTTGGGAGGTGAACAAGAGGACTGAAGTTTGAGGCCAACCTAGGCAAGAAAAGTTAGTGGGCATATTAGCTCCTGACTGGCATCTATTCTTTTATAAACTACAAAAGAAATAGAGCTAGCAATTCTTGGAAAAGTTATATAGGAAAGTCACATTCCAAATGCAAAATGAACCAAAATGTAGGATAACTCTAGGTACAGGTAGGTCTATAAGAAAAAAGAATTCATTTCAGTATAATAGGCACATTCTTTCACAAAGTCTTGAACACCCACACACTTTAGGAAGAAATGAGGCCATAACCCACTATGCATCTTTTTTATCATTTTAAAATTTACATGCATGTGTACACATTGTTTGGGCCACCTCACCCCCACTATGTGTCTTTGAAGCAAACCATATTTATTTATTCATAACACAATAAATATTATTTATAGCTTTTTTTCTTTTGGGACAGGGTCTCACCATGTAGCCCAGGCTGGTCTGAAACTTTCAATCCTTCTCCCTCTACCTCTCAAGTTCTAAGATTACAAACATGCACCAATATACCATATATATTTTTAAATTTTAAAAGTACATTAAGACTTGCTTGTGAATGCACAGTGGAATGTATGTGTAAAATGTAATAATGTAAAAATAAAGTCGATAGCTCTAAGAGAGCAGAAGGTGAAAGAAAGGTATGGGAAATGAGATACTGGCTGAAGTTGACAAAACAAAAAGAAATGGCATTTTCATTGGTAATCTACAAAAGACTTTAAAAACAATGAAAAACAGATGATGAAAAAGAACCTGTAATAATTAGAGGATTTTTGCTCTGAGAATGACAGATCAAGTAGCAAGTATCCTAAGGGCAAAATTAGTACTACTATTGATAAAGAAGAAAGGGAGGGAAAAAATAGGTAGGTATATAGAGATGGAAAGACAGATTCTGGATCCATGAAGGCAATGTTAATCAGTCAACTTACTGGCTGCACAACCTCTAAATTTTTCTCCTATAAGAACCAATAAAGGCTGGAGGTGTAGCTCAACTGGTAGAGTACCTGCCTAGCAAGTTCAAAGCCCTGAGTTAAAAAACAAAAAACAAAAAACTGATAAATTTCCTTTTACTGCTTTTTATTTTTTTTCCATTTTCATTAAAAAAAAATTTTTTTTGGCAGTACTGAGAATTTGAACTCAGGGCTTTGCACTAACAAGGCAGGCTCTTTACAGCTTGAGACATGCCTCCAGTCCTTCATTTTACTATTCAAGGTAGCTTCAATTGCAGTTTCCTTAGCTAAAAGTCAAAGTATCCTAGTCAATACAAAATAAATAGAGAGTTGGACTGGAGGCATGGCTCAAGTGGTAGAGATCCTGCATTTGCAAGCACAAGACCCTGTCTTTGTTTAAACCCCAAGTATCCCAAACAAACAAACAAACAAAAAGAAAGAAAATAGAAGCTTATTATCTGACCTACAATTCGATTGTCAAATATATGCAGCTAACATACATGCACATAAATACTTGATAATATGTTGCATGTTTCTCAATAATCTTGAACTTTAAAATAATAGCTGTATTTTCAAAGCTCCTATAAATTGTACTTTTAAGATGTAACTCATAACCTGTATTTCAGTAACTTCTTCAATTCTCCTTGATTTTTTAAAGCTGTTTTCCTCAGACTTCTAAGAGCCTACTGTATTCTAGAGTCTTCAATGCTACAAAAGCCTGAAACACTAGAGAAATAAGTGTCAATTCTCCTAAAGAAAATCTTACCTACGGAAAGCCGAGATGGACTAGCCTCTCTGCTGCAGCCCTGGCTCCGTGGTATCTTGCTTCTTTTTTGTGCTGAGGCTGAATTGACCAGGACTCTTTGAGCACCCGAGCTCACAGTAGAGAGGGCTGTCGTGGTCAGAACTCTTCCTGGAGACCCAGATCGGCTGCCAGCTAAACACCAAACACATATAAAAATACTAAGATGTGAACCCCTAGAGAACTTGCTGAAAAGATAAAAATTCAAGAAACAGTGATAATATGGCAGGTTAAAGAAAATGCAGTGAGAAAGATTTATACATAATTACAACCTGGGGGGAAAAAGGTATCACCTATACTAGCACTGAATGGTAAGTGTTTTGGGGGATATACCATACTATGTTTGATAATGATAACAGTATTATGACTTTTAGAATACAAATTGTAAGAAAGGTTTCCAAAGCAACCATGTGTCTGATAGTACATTTGGTTAAGATGATCTGTGTGAAAAAGCTATAAATTTAAAGGAGAATATAACGCCTTAATTTTCTCACTGCTATTATTTTCATTAATAATAATGATAATTTGCTTACGTTAGAATAGTTTCCCTGAGAGGCTTGTGAATGTGTACAGCAAAGTCATCTACTTAAATACTATATACATTTTTAAATTTTACAAAATTAAAATTTAAATGTTGAGAAAACTCGGTCAGCTAAAGAAGAAATTTATATTCAAATCACAAAGGTCTCTTGGGTGGCCACATTCTGGGATATAGAAGAGAGATTCCATCTGAATAAATAAATTCTTGGCATGGTGGGGCACACCTGTAATTCCTGCACTCAGAAGGCAGAGGCAAGAGGATTTCAAATGTAAGGTCAGCCTACATAATAGACCCTGTCTGTAAATACCTACCTACTTATCTACCTATATACATACAGAACAGTGTGCTTTTTTTTTTTTTAAATCCATGCCCCAATCTCTAACTCCCCTTCTATCCTCTAGAATATATCTGACTTCTCTGACATTTGGCTCTTAGTCCTATTCCATATGGTTTTCTATGTATGTTGATGGGTAGGTATGTATTTATAGACAGAGTCTTTTATGTAGGCTGACCTTGAACTCGAGATGCTCTTGCCTCTGCCTCCAGAGTGCTGGGAATATAGAGGTGTCATACCACACCTGGTTCATTCATTCATTCATAATGTTTTTTGGGGTGGTAGTACTGGGGATCAAATCCAGAGCCTCATGCATGCCAGGCAAACATTTAACCACTGAGCTATATTCCCAATCCTCATTCATGATTTTTAAGACAGGCCTCACTGTGTAGGTCAGGCTGGCCTTCAATCTGCATTACCCCAGCCTCTGCCTCCCAGTGCTGGGATTATAGCTATGAATTACCATGCCTGGGATTTATTTATTCAGAGGGAGGTTTTATGTAGCCCAGGATGACTTTGAACTCTTGTTCCTCTTGTCTCTGCCTCCTGAATGCTGGAAATACAGGTGTGTGCCACCACACTAGAAAGAAACATTGTTTTAAAGTAGAAGTATAGAGGTTAACTTTTAAGGAGATGAATTCCCATGTTAATCAAAACATTTTATATCTATGTTCAATAGGAAAATGGACTAGATAATTCCAAGATATAATCTAACCCTAGATTCTAAATGGCAACATTACAGAATTTGCATTTAAATAAATCTCATGAGCCAATCTTTTCCTTTCCTCAGGCACCACCTTCCATGCAGTAGAAGAGTCACTGCTCATGATGTACAATCTTACCCAATAAGAGTTTATTTCCACTGAACAGATTAAAGACTCAAATGTCAGTGGGGACAAGAACAAGATATTGAAAAAAAGAACAGGTTCTTCTTTCTTTGCTTGCCTTTTTTTTGTGGTACTGGAGTTTGAACTTAGGGCCCTGTGCTTGCCAGGCAGGCACTCTACCACTTGAGCCACACCACCAGCCCAGTTCTCCTAAGTATAGAGCAGGGGGAGTGGTCAAGCAGATGGTAATCAAGAGGAGACTGTCTGCCCTTTGCTAAGGGGGAGGTGACCTTTGAGTTCTAACCAGCCTCTGTCTTGAGGTAATACTGACTAGGTTTGTGATATTTTTAAACTGAGAGCTTTGAAATTTCCTGAGGTTTATCACGTTGTGTAGGCTAAACAGTACATGAATAGAGCAGGCTAGATGTGGTCTATGGGCTGTTGATCTGTGATCCCATGTTATTAGTTCTTGGCATAGCTTGCTTAGTACAATTTATACTCCTGCTTAATTCTTAAACTGTATCAGCACATAAAATTGAACTTATCTTTCATCATGGATAGCAAAATTGTACACAAACAGTGTTTCCAGTAAAACTAACAATTTACTATTTGAGCAGAAGGAATTCTAAATTATTGTAGGGAAATTACTCAATTGTATTTTAAAATGACTGCTCAGTAAAACGTTTCATGATAGTTCAGGTGAAGAATCTTCAAATCCAGTTTCTTTCAGTTATAGCCTTCAGGATAGTGGAGGTACCTATTTTTTCCATGCAGGATCTAAACTAAACATACACACTAAAACATCCAAACACCCAACATGCCACAAACTCACAATGCAAGATAGGTAAATGGAATATTTTATGGGAATAAGAGTAACAATATAAAAAGTATAAAGAGAATGAACTAAGCACATACAATATGGTATTCTGTTAAACCAATGTAAATTTGTGGAGGAAGAGTGTTGATAGGAGACTGGAGTATTCCTTGAAATGTGGATCTATTCAGCAGACAGGAAATGTGCAGTTTAGAAGCAGAGTAACTACTTTTTCTACTCTAGATTTAAATTTATTAGAATTATGCAAGCTCACTCTCTAGATATTTAAATTCATTCATGCCCCTCTTAGGAAATAAAATTGGCAGTGTTCAGTTCACTTTAATCTCTCCCTTCCTCTTTTCCAGTACCTCTGGTCACCACACCAAGACTAATAATTCCAGTGTCTACAACTCATTTGGAATGATTTATACTTAGAAGAACATAGTAAGGCTTTTTCTCCAGCAAAGAGCCACCAAGGTTAATTATTTCCTTTAGGAAAACTACAGAGTTGATGAAAAGGGGCATAATGCACCCAGGAAATTGCACGTTAACAGAAAATGCCCTAATTGTAAAACTTGAAACCAGATACCTATTTTCTCTTGTGCTGCCTTTTTTATACTTTTTATGGAATTTCAAAGCATTACTACTGCTCATTTTCTTTGAATGTTTACATATGTTGGGCCAATTCAGATAAATTAAAAAATTCGGTTTTGGCAATATAATAAAGACAAGGCCAAAGGCGGTGGGAACTCAATTGCTAAGTTTTATCCCAACATGATTACAAAATGATGGAATATTATGTAAGAATTTCTGCTGAATAGAACCCATATTTGGTAATGGAAATAGGTGATCATACAGTAGATGCACACATAAAGTCTATAGATTCTTACCACCAATGGTATTAGCAGATTGTGATCCTGAACAAGTGTAAAGGCAGAATTAGGGTAAGGGTTATAATCCAAGAATAGGGAAGGAGCAGTTTTAAAATGAATGGCAGATGGAAATAAGAAAGCTTTAGTCAGTTCTCAGGAAAAAAAGAAGATACAATGCAAAAAAAAAAAAAAAAAAAGGCAAACTTTAAAAATCCCAAAAGCACAGATGATATCTGTAACAAAAGCAGTACACTCAATAGTTTTCATAGCTGATAAACAGAAATCAGACACTCATGTACAAAGCAGATGAAATGAAGTCACAAGAGTAAATGTAAATTCTTCAGCTTTTCTATTTAAATTATTTAATTTAAATAATTAAGTGTTTAAGTTTTTTTAACATTTAATTTAAAACTAGATGTAGGAACAACTGTAACATCTTAGAGCTGAAGAAAAATCAGATGAAAAACCACAAGTTTCATCTTTTTTAAGATTCACAGAAAAGCAAAAACAAGAGGTGGGAATAAGGAAAACAAAGTTTCTGACAGGCTGTACAATCTTCTGTACACAACCAGTCACTACCAACGACAAAAAAAAAGGGACACAATTCTTTCATAAATATATATCTAAAGTCTCTCCATTAGGTCTGCTTTCATTTATTTTGGTTAGCCACCAGAACACACCTGCTTTGATCCAAAAGATTTTTTTTTTCTAAATGATGATACAAAAACATGGAAAGACCATGCAAACCCTAATGAATTACATTTTACAACAAAGTGAAGATGGAGATCACCATAATATTTCTGTGCAGATATGTTAGAAAGAAACTTGCATACAAATTACGTATCTTTTTAACAAAATAATTTGGAATAGGACATATAGTCATTCAAATAAGTAAGCAAGCAAACAAACAAAAACTCTCCAAAATGATTAAAATCTAAGTGATTTTATAGTGGGAAAGTCTTCTAATCTTAAAGTCCTACTAGGTCTAAAAAAACAGTGACTGGTTTTTTTAGGGGAGAATTTTGACTATTGTGGATTGGGTTTCAAAGTGAAAATCAAATGCAAAAAGTATTACTCTATTTTCTAGTGAAGTGATCTGAAGTTAAAACCTATGTAAAAAGGATGTCCCTTAAGTAACATATTTAAAAAAACAAAAACAAATACAAACAAAAAAACCCTCTTTTGCCCTGAGTTCAGCCTTAGTATTAAAAGATAACTAATGTCTCACAATTAAGTGGACAGTTTCAGGTTATCTTAATGTTTCTTTATGCTTTAAACATTCTAACTTCACTATTACTTATTTCTCTGTTTCCTGAAGGCAATGAGAATAGCAAGGCATAGAAAAAAAAAAAGCAGTATAAAATTCAGTTGGCATCTGATTAAGAATAATAACAAGGACAATTTTAGCAGTTAACATACATAGTGCTTATTCTGGGCCATGTACTATCTTAAGAGCATTAAATATACTACATCATTTAGTCCTCATGACAATTCTACATGTAGATGCTATTATCCTCTTCATTTTATAGGCAAGTATACAGAAGTGTAGTAACTTTAATCTAGGAAAGCCAGGATTCTAACCTGGGCAGTATGACTCCAAAGACCATAATCTAAACTAGCATTTCTTAGATTTTACTATGACACAAATTTATCTTCTTAAAGTTCAGATTCAGTTGATCTGTGATGTTAATTTCTAATTAGAACCCAAGTGATGCTGATGCTAATCTGTGTAGCACATATGGAGGAGTGATGCTCCCAACTACTGTGCTACACTGCTGAAAACCTAATGTACTTTAAAAATCATTCTAAAATCCACAAAATTGGGGAAAAAGGTGTTATCCACTCTTGATTTGCTTGAGAGAAAAGCCCTTGCCTACAGGACATCTGTCATTCTTCCTATTTGTAAGCAATCTTCAATTTGAAAATGCATTTTACTGAGTATTTCTGCTTATCTTTAGGATTCTTAGTGAGTGCTCCCAACATTACACTTCCTGGACTCTGGGAAGAAGAGAATCTGAGGGAAGACTTGGGTAATCAGCATCCTATTCTCTCCAAGCCTTGCTCTTTCCGCTTGATTCTACGATCCAGGACTCAGGTTAAAATAAACAGATAGGACATCCATATCCTAACAAATGATCTAAATAACGGTGCAAGACAATTAAATCCATTTCTTTCTAAAAGTATAGTCAAGTATACAGAATAATTCCCACAATTATTTCCTAAGGAAAATTTCCTGATTTTTTTAGAGATAAATGCTAATAAAAATTTCTTGGTAAGGAAGGAATGGCAACAAATTGTTTTCAATTAATAATGCCATAAATATATGCGTTACTAGTCTGGTACATATGGATCATTCATTGTACCTAGACATAAAGTAGTGCTTTTTAATAATTCTTCTTACGAAGAACTCAACTTTCAACGAAATACCAAAAACATAAATCTTAAATTTAATAACAAATAAACCAAAATTGTCATTTCAGTTTATTTTTCCTCACTATAAATCAGCATATACTTGTTAAAAATGGTAGCCAAAAATAAGATTTTCTAATAGATTATGGGGAGAGTAAGATATCACTTATCTGCTTTGAAAAGCATTAAGCCAGATGCAACCCGATTTTGATGTTAATATATGGCAATTATTTTTGCCTCTAAAAGGCACAGTTCCACATTTGCAAGTTTCTGAATATAATGTGAAAATCTTAATGCTTAGGATTAAGCATGTGCTATTTAAAATATCTTCATGCAAAAGTTTGTAAAGCAGATGAAGTTTTTCTTTCTAAGTGGCAGATATCAATGATGCAGCCCTAATAACACAAAGACAAGACAACACCCACTCAAAAAATTCCAAAACATGCACGACAACTGACCCAAAACATTGAAAAAAAAAAAAATACCTTCATTTTTGTCAGGTGATGATGAACCTAAAGTACAGAACAAGAACTCAGTATGTGGCTTGCCTTTTTTCAGATTTGCTTTGTCTACCCACTGGTCAACTTCCTAATACGGTACTAAACACGCAACACGCTTATCCTAACAAGATTGACAATCAATGGAGGACTGGTAAGCAGTACGTACGCTGGGACTGAGACACCATTTTTGTTCGGCTTCTTCCTCTAGAATCTGTCTTGGCATTTCCCATACCAGCAAGTGGTGCTGAAAGCTTTGCTCTCATACGGCCTGAGGAGTAAGATAATCACATAATTAAAAAACATTTGTCTATAACAACATTCATTATTAAGGGGGAAATCTAACTATTTTTAAGTATTGTTAAATTCTATAATAAAACCATCACAGGTTATATTTTTCTTAAAATTTAATTCATAGTTTTGCTTTATTTTTCCCTTTTCTTTTCTAAGAGATGGGATTTTGCCTTGGCTGGTCTCAAACTCCTTGGGTCATGCAATCCTCCCACTTAAGCTTCTGAGTAGTCGGGACTACAGGCATGTCCCAGCAGGCCCAGCCAGGATTGTTTTTTATGTGTTGTACTATAAGCTAACATTCCATCAAGGGTAAGAATAATGTAAAACCACAAGATTTTCATTCTTACTTTGACATTATTAGTCTAGTAGTTATAATTAAGATAATTACTATATTCTTTTTTTTTTTCTTTTTTCTTTTTTGTGGTACTGGGGTCTGAACTTTGGGCTTTGTACTTGCTAGGGGAGCGCTCTACAACTTGAATCACAACCCCAGCCCTTTTTGCTTTAGTTATTTTTTTTTCTATAAGAGTCTCAAGTTTATGCCCTGGTTGGCCGGGACCACAATTCTCTTATTTAGACTTCTTGCTGTAGCTGGGATGGCAGGCACACTTTACCACACCAGGCTTTTACTGCTTTCTTTTCCTAAGCAATTAATTTCATTTAGAAAATGACTTGAGGAAATACGTATCCCATGAGTTGGCACTTTTCTCAATGTATTTTTCTCCCTCCTGGCTGCATTCCTTTCTGCTCTACTACTTCCTCATCTCCCTCTATAAAACTAGGCTACAAGTATCCTCATCCCACTGCTAGAGCTCTTGAACCCAAGGAAATAAGTGCATCCAAGGGTTAAGTAAGCTGTCATTATTAGTAAAAACAAGTGATGATAAAATACATTACTATCAGGTACTTTGGTATTCTCAATCAATGTACAACCAATACCAAACATAGTCAAAAAGAAGAACTCAATCTTTTTAAATTAAAAGGCACAATTTGTAGGGAATACACAAAATTCTGGCTAATTCAATATGGGCATATTAACTAGGAAAAATATACTTAAGAGTAGGTATAAATTTAAAAACTAAGGAATGAGTGAGGGAAGAAAAGAGAGTGGAAAGAAGTAGGAATTAAACAGAGGTAAAACAAGAAGCATAACTGGCAGAATCTTAGTTTTCTATTCACTTCAAGGTCCCCAATGAGTCCATAGTTTAGGCCTCTGAGGATTTTAAAGTCTATTTTGAAGAGTAAGATATAATGTGTTCATGATTAAGAAGTAAAACAAAGAGACCAAATTATCAGTTTTGAAATGGAGAATTTATCCACATTCTACACAACAAAGAAGTTAGGATATGTTAAGTATGTTGTTAGAGTGACAGTAAACTTTATTAGGAAAGGAATACACTTTCTTTTTTTGTTTTTGTTTTTTTGTTGGGACTAGGGTTTGAACTCAGGGTTTCACACTTGCAAAGCAGGCACTGAACTGCTTGAGCCACACCTCCAATTATGTTAAGTATTTTGATACTAACATTTTAAATTACAAAGTGACAAGGAAGATGCCATTATTTCCTATAGGGTCAGAAATCATACTTTAAAACAATTTTAAATATGAGACCATAAAAGGTTAAACTGATTTGGTTTTATACATAAGAAAATGTCACCAATGTAAAACTTAAGAGGAAACCGATGTATTTCAAACCAAAGGCTTTAATAAAACAGCTTTAAGGCAGGCTAAATATACAAAGTGAATTCTTTTCCTTTGTACAAACTCAAATGGAATAAACAATTCCTTTTAAATGGAATCAGTGACCAATTTCTAAGTCACTGATTCAAAAATAAAAGACAATTTGAACAAAAAGCATTTAAATTCCAATGATAAAACAAGGATGCATGCTCCTACAAAGTAGAAATAAATTGGCTTTAACTAAAAAAGAAAAGCATCAAATATCATTAATGGAAAATATGAAATTATGTATTAATTTTATACTAGATATTACTAAACATGTCAAGCAATTATGATTTTCCAGCAAGAGATGATTCCACAATACAAGGCAAAAAACTTCAGGATGAAGAATTAAAAAAAAAAAAAGCCACACATAAAACTAACATAATCAGAGAATGTAGAAGCTACTATAACTAGCAAATTATAAAGATTTGCAAATAAATTAGCCTGTTTTAGTTTTAATATTTAATTCCAACCAATGAAAATAGTAATGTAGGGATTCTGTATTACTAACAAATGTGTATTTCTTACCATCTTCAGATGCTGTTCCTAAATAAGAGAAATAAAAGAATATTTCAACAAATTCTGCCAATGCAGCTACCTCAACCACCACCCAAGACTAAAATGAAAAGGTGAAAACAAAACATAACTTTTAGTCTGAAAGACTTAACCTGGAAAAGTTTTGGAAAAATATAATTTGAGATAATCTTATTTGCAGTACACATAAAAAAGCTGAAACCAGAGAACTGAAAATGGCAGAATTCTATAATGAACACTTCTTTTATATCTCATTCCTAATTTTGAAATGGTAAAAGAAGCTGTAGAAATTAATTACAAGAAAGATGCAACTCTTACTACTTCTATACTATAGACTTTGCTAGAGTAGGAATATTTTCTGGGCATCTTCAAAAGGTAACCCATAAAAGAACTAGAGAAAACTAACAAGTAGGGAAATCAAATCCATGACTGAGGCCTCATTTGCCCATATTTTCAGAAAACACATACAAAACCAAAGATCTACCAATCCAATTAATCAGCTATTTACTCAACATTTATGTGTACTCCCAAGATGTCAGTGAAGTCTACCAAAAATGACCATGTACAAGCATCATAACTCACTACTGCTAAGGAGCAATACTAGACAAACCTGGTATGTACTTTCGTTCAATACTTTTTATGAAATACTTTGATCAGACAATAGGTAGAGAGACAAATATAACCAACAGTCACAAACCCAACCCAAGATTAAATAAATATTCCATTTCACTGAAATATAAGCTATCTTAGATCAACTTTTAGAGTTTATTAACAGAAAAATATGTAACATCTTGAATTTTTCTAGATTTCATAAATGATTTAGATTTCAATACTGTACATTTTACAAGTTTTGAAACGAAGTGCAACCATCTAGCTAACACGATGGGATCTGATAAGAGTGAAAAGAAGCAGGGATAATGTGCTGTCTAGAAAAAATAGGATACAGATTTGTTACTGAACTACAAACTGTAATCATTTGCATATTGGAATTAAAAAGGTAAAACTTAAGTTCAGTTTTGATTACATGTTAAGTTTAAAAAGACAGCATTGGTAACTTGTATTTTGTTTTCATAAACAATCATTTGATCCTGTGAAATATGTCATTTGTCTTTCTCCACATCAGTTAGTAAACTAATGTGTTAAATTAAATGAATGATGAGATTCTTTTCCATTCTTCTGAATCCAATATTGTAAGAAGACAAGAAACTGACAGCATTCAGAGACCTATTTCCTATTTATTTATTTTTGTAGTACTGGGGCTTGAACTCAGGGCCTTCACTTTGAGCTACTCCACCAGTCCTTTTTTGTGATGGGATTTTTTCCGAGATAGGGTCTTGCAAACTATTTGCCATGCCTGGCTTTGAACTGCGATCCTCCTGATCTCTGCCTCCTAAGTATCTAGGATTACAGGCATGAGCTACCAGTGCCTCGCTCAGAGACATATTTCTAAGGGCTCATGTAAAAATTTTAAGATAACTGATATAAGTTACAACATACAGTATAGTACTATTTGAATAGATTTGGAAATCCCAAACTGGATATATACAACCCACAATTAAACCACAGAATGATGTAGCCATATTCACATTAAGATTCTTGGCAAAAAAAAAAGATTATTGATAAATAACTAGTATATTTTAGAGATAAGTAAGTAGCATATTCTGGAGAAGAATGAACAAGAACCCAAGAGCCATAAATGTGTGGTAGAATTATAAAAGGACATTCTTACCATCCATCTTGTCAGAAGTATCCTCTTTGATGAAAGAGCAAACAAAGAACAGAGGAAAACTTAGTATATTAGAAAACATGGTTTTATAATCCCTATAAAACTTTCTTAAAAGACAAAAGTCATTGCACAGGTATATGGTTTACTGCCTTGTTTCTTAGCCACCCCACCTTTTCTTTGAACTTTTTAGCCTCTATAACCTATATCTGTATAAACTTAACAACTCACTTTCTCTATTTCACTACTTGATAGAGCAAATTACACAACAATGTAGTCATGGATTCTGGTACTACTAAAGACCTGATATTTAGTGCCTGTTCAGAAGAGTTAAGATGATGCTCTTACAAAGGTTATGCTTGTGGGGCTGGCCTCTGGGGACTTTAGTTTTGAATGCTCTCTATGTTAAGGATAAGATTAAGCGAGGGTGGAGGCACTAGATTCTACTACGCCAGTTTGCCTGAATTGCTTTTACAAACTGTGATTTGTGGTAAACACCTACGTTCTTTCTGGGAGTGTGGAGTTTAGTAATTGTGGCTGGTTTCAAGAGCAGAGTGCCTATGTGACTATCCCTCAACTCTTCTGTCTGCCCTGGACTGTAAGGCTATAGTGAGCTTCCCTAGGCAGAAACACTGCAACATTTCACTGCTAGAGAAAGAAGCAGCCTCCTAAACCATCTCTGGTAGAGAGAAAGTACCTAGACACCTCTAGACTGCTAAATCTTTTTCCTTGCTGATACTGTTGCATATCCTTTTGCTCTAATAAATCTCAACCAAGAGAACAGCTGCCTCTGAGTTTAGCAAGTCCCCAAATGTGTGGGTGGTTATGGAAAGTCTAAGAATGTTCCTCTTCTTGTGCCTCATCAATGGCTGTTCTAAACCTCAAGTTACTTCCTGGCACATGATTGTGAACTCTGAATCCTCAGGCAGAAGATCACAACCTCTGTAATACCTGCCCCCTATAAATATTATATCCAAATCTCCCATCTGCTTCATTTCCTTTCCTTCTACCTCAGTGAAACTGCTGACCTTTCCACATCCACAGCAACCTTCCCAGCCGTGCTTTCTATACCCCATGCCTTCCACAGGAACTTCACCGTGATGTATTTCCTCTCATCCTTGCACTTCTTTCTCTCTACTCACTTACCACTTTAGTATACAAACACATTTACCTCCACCAATCTAAAGAAAATACTAAATTGCCTGGCCCTTGAACTACAGATAATTCCTACAGTGCTCTTTCACTCCTTTTCTTAACCATCAAGTATTGGAGTAATTTATACAGATCCAACTTCTTCCATCAACTGAAATTTGACTTCTGTCCATGATCTCACCAAGAACACTTGTTTTCTTTTCCATTCAAGCAATTCCAAAAACCCAGTTGTTGAGAATATTCATAATATGCATACATATATCAAAATTTCCTTAACATAAATTCATACCACATGAAGCTTCCTCTTCATAAAGTTAAAGGGTAAATTTCAAAACACTTGTGGTATCATTGCTGACAAAGTACTGAAGGAAAACAAAAACCAAAAACCAGTGGCAACTGTTTTAAGGAATGTATGTTCAATATTGGTAAAACGCTCTCCTATTTCTATACTACTTTATTCCAACTATCTCCTAATACCTCCAGTTTGAGGTCTCACTGACTTCAAACTCAAAATGTATAAAACTCAACAAACTTTTAGGTGCTCACCTCTCAGCAACCTATAAACGGACTGAGATACTCTTGAGTAGAAAAGCATGTATCTCTGGATCCCTGGTACCTACAGGATGCCTATCAAAAGCCAAGTGATCAGCAAGTGTATGCTAGAAAACTCCTAAATCATATATGCTCAGTCATCATAAACAATGCTCCGAATAGAAGGAAGCAGAGTGCACTAGTCACAAATGTATTACAAAGTTACATAAGGGGTGAGGTATGAGGTGGGGTTGAGGTAGAAAGGGGGCAGGAAGCGTATGGCTCCCAAGTGTGAACCTGGGTTAGATGAAGAAAAGTGAAAAGGAAGACACCTTTCCCTATATCTTTCATAATGAAACAAACATGTAATTAAACTTTGCTTAGCACTCTACCACCTCAGCCATGCCCCCAGTCCTAAATACAGTATTTTCCTTCTGGTAGTAAAAATAATAGCTATTCATTGCAATGTAGTTATTTTTATGACTCAAGATGAATAGGTGGTTATCATCTTACTTCAAAAAAGCTGAGAGATAATTTACACTTAAAATTCACCGTTGTATAATATACAACTCAGTGTTTTTAATATATTCACAAGGCTATGTAATCTTTACTATTAATTTCAGACCTTTTGTTTTTGGAGGTACCGGAGTTTGAACTCAGGGCCTATACCTTGTGCCATTCCACCATGCCCTTTTTGTGATGTTTTTTTTGTGAGACAGGGTCTCAAAAACTATTTGCCTGACTGGCTTTGACCGCAATCTTACTGATTTCTGCCTCCTGAGTAGTTAGGATTACGGCCTGAACCACTGGTGCCTGGCTTCTAGAACATTTTTATCACTTCCAAAAGAAATCCTGTACCCCTTAGCAACCATTCCCTCTAGTTTTTTTACTTCTAGTTCCTGGCAACAATTACTATACTTTGTAATTCTGTGGATTTGCCTGTACTAATCATTTCATGTAACTGGAATCAAAATACGTGGCTGTTGCTGTCTGACTTCATAAATACGCATATGTATGTGAAAGTTTTTTTAACATAAATTCTGACTACATCATACCACACCAAGCTTTTTCTTCATGAAGTTAAAGGGTAAATTTCAAAACACAATACTCATGATATCTTTACTGACAAAGTATTCAATAATTTAGGGAAAACAAAGATAAAATATAGTGGCAACTGTTTTACCAAGTGTATGGAGTTTAATACTACATCTTGTGCATGCATTTTTGTGGCTCAGTAATAATCCATTTCCCTGTGTGGACAAATCCCACTTTGCTTGTCATTTACCAGCTGATGGACAAGTAAGCTGTTGCTACTATTTTGGCTATTATGAATAATGTTGCTATCAACATTCACATACAAATTTTTTAAGAACAAATGCTTTTGTATCTCATAGCTAGAGTAGAATTGATAGATCATATGGTAATATGTTTAACTTTTTGAGAAACTGCCAACCTATTTCCAAAAAGCATGTTTCATTCCACATTCCCACTAGCAGCATGTGCAGATTCTCCACAACCTTGTCAGAGGTTGATACTGTCTATCTTTTTGATTTGTAGGCATCACAATGGGTGTGAAGTGATATATCATTATGCTTTTGAGTTGTACTTCCCTAAATGACTAATGATGTTGATTATCTTTCTATGTACTTACTAGCAATCTACATGTATCTTTACTGGAGAAAAGTCAAGTTGAATCATTTGTCCATTTTTAAAATGAAGTTATCTTTTTTACTAGTGAGTTCTAAGAGTTGTGTGTGTGTGTGTGTGTGTGTGTGTATGCATTGTATTTCATGGGATCCAAGTTTCTGATTAGAATCATATATATATATATATATGATTTGCAAATATTTTCTCTTATTTACATGCTATTTTTTCACGTTTTTGAAAGTATTGTTTAAAGCATGAAGGTTGAAGTCTAATCTATCTCTTCTTTGACTGAGTGGTGTCAGAGCTAAGAGAATATTGCCTAATCCCGGGTTAAAGACTGATGCCAATCTATCCTTCTGAGTGTTATAGTAGTATTCTTATATCTAGGCTTTTGATCCATGCTGAGTTTAGGTAGGAGTCCAGATTAATTCTTTTGTATCCAGGTGTTTCAATATCATTTGTTTAAAAGACAACGGACATTGAATCATCTTTGCCCTCTTGCTGACAATCAACTAACCATAAATGTACAGGTTTATTTGTAGATTCTTAATTTTATTCCAGTCTTTTAAGTCTATTCTTAGACCAGTACCACAAAGTCTTGGTCACTGTAGCTTTGAAGTTTTGAAATTGCAAATTGAGTCCCCCAACTTTGTGGGTTTTTGAAGATTACTGCAGTTACTCTGGGTCCTCTGAATTTCCATATGAATTTTGGGTTCAGCTTGTCAACTTCTGTAAAAAGGTACCTGTACAGGAATCCTATTTGTGTATCAATATGCCATCTTAATAACTTTTAAAATCTATAAGCCTATAATGTCTATTTATTTATGTCTTCTTTAATTTCTTTTAACAATGTAATGTAGTTTTCAGTATACAAACCTTACATGTATTTTGTTATATTTATTCCTAGGTATTTTCTTCCTTTTTCGGAGGGTGGTACTGGGTTTAAACTCAGGGACTTACACTGGCTAGAAAGACACTCCACCACTTGAGCCACACCTCTAATTATTGTTATTTCTTTGTGTTGTGGTACTGGGCTTTGAACTAAGGACCTTACTCTTCCAAGGCACTTGAGCCCTTTTTCTGATGTTATTTTAATTGTTTTCTTAATTTCATTTGCTCATTGCTGCTGTTTTTAGAAATACAACTGATCTTTATATACTGGTCTTATATCTTGTAACCTTACTGAAGTGGTTAATTATTAGCTATAATTTTTTTTTTCATGGGTGCCTTAGGATTTTTTATACAGGTCATGTTTTCTGCAAACAGATAATTTTTCCAATCTGGATACCTTCTATTTCTTCTTCTATACCTTCTTTCTTACATAATTGCCCTGGCTAAAATAGGAAGGATGAAAGTGGACAACCTTGACTTGTTATCGATCGAGGGAAAAGCATTCAGTTTATCACTATTAAATATGGTGTTAATTGTGGATTTTTCAAACATGCTCTTTATCAGGTTGAGAAAGTTCCTTTGGTTTGTTGATTTTTTTTTTTAAATCACAAAAGAGTGCTGGATTTCATCTAATGATTTTTCTGCAGCTACTGAGATGATCATGTGTTTTTTTTTCTTTATTCCATTAATATGGTGCATTATGTTGATTTTCAGAATACTGAAATAACATGGTATTCCTGGCAACACAGTTCTTCTAAACAAAAGCATTTTCTGAAAATCAAACAACTGTTACCATCTTTGGATATAGCCCTACTGTGAAAGGGTATATTTCATTTCGCAAAGTAATGAAATTACCAAACAATGTTTGATGGTCTATATTATTCTACCTTTGTTGAAAACATGACTTTTTAATCTGCATAGTATATATAAACATACATTATAACTGAATTATTCTGTCTTTGCTACTACACACAAAAGGTGATTCTAAAAACATGTTATAATGAATATTGCTTTTCCTCTGTTTTTGGTGGTACTGGGGTTTGAACTCAGGGCCTAGTGCTTGCTAGGCAGGTGCTCTACAACTTAAGTCATACCTCAAGACTTTTTTTTTGTGGTGCTGGGGCTTGAACTCAGGGCCTACACCTTGAGCCACTCCACCAGCCCTATTTTTATGATGGGTTTTTTCGAGATAGAGTCTCACAAGTTATTTGCCTGGGCTGGCTTCGAACTACAGTCCTCCTGATCCCTGCCTCGTGAGTAGCTAGGATTATAGGCATGAGCCACTGGTGCCTAGCTTGAGACTGTTCTTGCTTTACTTGCTTTTCAGGTAGGGTTTCATGCTTTTGTGTGGGTCAGCCTTAGACTGCAATCCTCCTACCTGCGGCTTCCATGCAGGTGGGACCAGAGACATGAACCACCATGATCAGTTTACTGATTGAGATGCAGTCTTACTGACTTTTTGAAGGGGCTGTCCTGGAACCATGATCCTCCTGATTCCACCTCTTGAGTAGCTGGGATTATAGATATGAGCCACGGCAGCCAGACTTTGTTTTTGTTTCTTGATATAATTATCTAAATACTGGATTACTGAGTCAAAAACTCTTAACCCTTAAAAGGTTTCATAAGTGTTACTAACTTGTCACTCAGAAAAAAGTGTCCCATCATTACATTACGTCACATCAGCATTGTTTAACAAGGCCCTATTTACCACATTCTTATCAATACTAAGCACTAACCTAAACAAATTTACAGGTCTTTCAGTATCTATCTGTTTGATTACAGCTCAGGTTCAACATTTGTTCTGGTGTTTATTGGTGATACATGTAGATTTTTTTCTATAAAAATAATCCTATCTGTTTCTCATAGATTTGAAAACTTTACAAATTTAGATATTTTTTTTAATAGCATTTGGCAAAAGTTTCTCCCTTTTAGTTTTCAGCTACTTCATTTCACATTTTCACATTAAATTCAAGAGACTTTTCTCTCATGGCTTGCTTTTATGTTTAGAAATTCTTTCTGCAACCACAGATTAGGTGAATACTTACTATGTTTTTGTCAAGTTGCTTTATGTTTTTGTTCAAGATTTTGGTCATCTGGAATATATTTTTACATGGTGTGTAACAAAGTTATAACAATCTTACACTAAATTGTGAAATATGTGCCTAAACACTGTGTACTGAATGCATCTGTGCCAATTTTATCACATACTACATTCATGCCTAAAATCTCTATGCTTTTTTGCTTTTTATTGTGTTCCACTGGTACTATCCAAGTGGAAGAAAAATGAAGCATGAAACAGAGGTAACCAATATGGATAACCAACCTCAAACTTAAATTGATGGACATGAACCCACGAAGAAAAAAATAAACTCTAAATAGCTTTTGTAGTATATGTTTAACCTTTAATGAGACAGACATAGAAGATCTTTGCAGTTCTCCCATATGCCCCCAATGGGTTTAAATTCTTGGTAAGTGAACAGAAATAGGAGAGAGGACACAGAGAAGCTGGTTACAAAGCCAATGCCCTTCTCAAATTCCTTTAGTAGTGGCTGGTTGGATGCGGCAGAAATGCAGTGCTAGAAAATTCTATGTGCAAGCATGGAATCACTGTTTCACTGATCAAGACGCTGACAAGGAGGACAAGGAGAAAGGTGGAAAAGAGGCAGCTCAGATACCTCACAAATACGCCCCCCGTACAGAATGTCATATGGATTATCCTTAAAAAGCAAGAATGAAATAGAAATGAATGCAACATATTATTTTGTTTCCACTGAGATCAGGGAGAGAATGTTGTACCATTTCTTACTTCCCACAATTAGGTATCTTACCTAGTGACGCATAGGAACCTGGATTCAGGGCACCTGCACCTAACCGTCCACTCCGCACAGACTGTCCAGCAGCATGATGCGCCTTGGCACCAGCAGCAGCATTCACATCAATGTCACTTCGTGAACGCTGCAGGCTTCCTGGAAGGGAACTGGTTTTGCTGCTGCCCACGGACACTAACAGAAGATGAAGCAAGGTAACCTGTTATTTAATTCACTGCAGACAACACGGAAATTACACAAACTTGAAATCATGAGCTAATTTCATAATGACATATATGGTCAATAAGGAAGCAGTAGCCAAGTGAATAACATCCCAAGGTTATTTTAAAGTCAGAATGACTCAGTTTCAATCCTGACACAACTAATTTCTTAGGAAATTTCAGTAATTTTTTAACCTCATTTTCCATTCTATTAAAATGAAAAAAAAAATGACCCACTTTGGCTGTAAAATTCATAGCACTGCTAGATGAAGAGAGTTATGACTAATTTAAGAAAATGAAGCACTTATAATACAAATACCTGACAGTAGTATTGTTTTCTACTATCAGAAAAATGCAAGAAAAACTAGTCCAGGGGCAAGGCTAGTCAGAAATCAATGAAGGTTTGCCACTTACAGGCAATGTACAAGATTAAGTTCTAAAATTTAGGCTTTCAGTTTTAAGAAGGAGGACTTTTAGTGAACTATGAATCATGACTCATTAGTAGATTACAAAATCAGCTGAGTGGGCCAAGACCACCATTCTGAAGAAATAAATAGAACAGAAAACAGACTTCACACATACAAGGGTAAGTACTGCTACATGGAACTTTAGCTTGCATTATACTCACATATACATAGTTATGGTATATGTGTGTAGCACTGGGTTATGAAAATTATTTTTTATTGAGGATCACATCAAAGTAATTTAAAGGCTACTGCTTATACATAAGATAAGCTATGGCTCTTATTAAAAAAAGCATTACCTCTTCCAGCCACAGTTGATGGATTTGCTGTAGACCATTTGGAAGAAAAAGGGCGACTGCAAAGTAAAAAGAAATGCTTTTAAGAAGACCTAATTTACCATTCCTTTAATAAACAACTAATGAATTACCAGTTTTGAAAAGTTGAGAAAGTTCAAATCTAAACTTTCCTTTTAAAAATTAGAACACCAACGTATGTCATAAATATCAATGGTGTCTCAATTAGCTGTAAAGCAAAAACAAAATAATCAGCATGAACAAAGATGATAAGATCTACAGAGTTCAGATGTGGTCCATAGCACGTGTCATGGTGTGTACCACAAAGGAATCCATATTTATTAACACTATCAACCACTTGTACTAAGCTATTTTACTCAGGAGAAAGTGGCAGTGTGACTATTACTAGCATAGAGGCAGCTCAGCATCACCAAAGCCTAAGCCACAACAGCTGTGCACATCATAATTCACAGTTACCATGTAAGCACCTTACTCCCCCAAGTGGTACTACTGTATGTTATCGTGTGGGACATCAAAACAAGGACAGAGCTGCTGCTGAGAATAATACGTATGATTACAGAATGTTAGTAAAACATCTCTAATTATTTCAAAGAACCCACCATCTCCTTTAACATTTTTTGATTATCTTTAATTACAATGGTATTCTACAGCTTTTGGAAAAATAAAACATCTAAGTATATAATGGGAATCCAAAAAGAATGTCTTAATGGTGGGGGGAAAGAGAAGCAAAAATTCCAAATAGGTTAATGTCAGACTATAGAAAAATCTTTAAAAAATATATATCTATATATCTATATAGGGTCTTGCAATATATATAGCCCAGCCTCCTGATTGCTGAGTTTACAGTGCCACCACACCCAGCCTAGAAAAATATTCTTTAAATTACTCTATTGTGTGTGTGTATGTGTGTGTATGTGTGTTTTCTCAGTGCTAGGGATCAAACCCAGGGACTTGCACATGCCAGACAAGTACTCTGCCATGGGAACTTCATCCCCATCCCAAGTTATATTGTATCAAATGGCAAATTACCTAGTGGTTATTAAGCTCAACATTATATTTGTACCTATTCTCTAAAATCTTTATCCTCTTAGATTAATACAGACTAAGGTTCACAAAATTCAAAGATGTTTATGGTTAAAGAAGTTACTCTAGAGTCAGACGAGATACCTTCTTTAGATCCTTGATACTCAAAGTATGATCCATGGACAAATAGCACTGACATGGAAAAATTTGCACACAGTGGAAACGTTTGTCCTCACATTACAACTGCTGAATTAGATTCTGAATTTTAACACATTCTTCAGGTGATTCACATGCACTTTAAAGTCTGACCATAGTAAATAAAAAGAGAATAAAAAAGAAGCTGGCACAGTGGATCATGCCTGTAATCCTAGTTACATGGGAGGTGGAAGAGAATCATAGTTCAAGGCCAGCCTGAGCAAACAGTGAGACTCCTATCTCAACCAGACACATCATTATTCCTACAGTAATTATTTTTTCAAATCAGCTATCTGCTTTTATTCTGAAAACACATAAGAAACTGAACTTTAGTGCAGTATTCACACAACTCTTTTGAGTACCTCTTTAGAGTTTATGCTCTAGGTACCTCACCCTATTCTCAGTCTTCCATCAGAGTTGCCAAGGGAACCAACAATCTTTGTAAAAGGTCAAGTCCCAAACACAAAAATATTACAGAGAGGTAAATTGACATTGTATGAGTTGCTCTTCCTTAGAGAAATCTGTAGATTCTTGGCATAGGGTAAGAGTCCATGAAGATGAACAGAGGGGCACTGTTAGGAAGCAGAGAAGGCATGTGAAATTTTAGCTATCTAGAGAGATAGATAAGAAGGTCAGCACTGCCAAAGCAGCAAGGAGCTGAAGTAGCCAAAATGTTGGTAAGAGTAGAGTTACAGAAAAGTAAGATACTAAATCATTTTGTCTCCTTGAGCATTTATGGAATTCTTTTTTTCTTTTTTTGGTAGGAGAGGGTTTGAACTCAGGGCCTCCCACATACTGGCAGGCACCCTACTACTGAGTCTTCCCCTCACCTCCAGAATTTTTAAGGGTAGGTAGGAAAGAATTTTTTTTTTTTTTAATTCTGAAGATGATTTCTGAATCTCTGATTACAACTCCCCCATTGTACTGTTCTGAAAGTGGGCTACTTACTATATGAATTATTTTAAGATATAAAAAAATGCATTAAAGGGCTGGTGGAGTGGCTCGTGTTTGAGCACCTGCTGAGTAAGCATGAGGCCCTGAGTTCAAATCCCAGTTCTGCAAAACAAAGCATATAAATTAGCATTTCTCAGACTGTCACAGACATGAACATATAGAAACAAAGTATGAATCATTAAATTCTTAAAATTAAACCCAAAGAGAAGATAAAATAGCATGTAGCCCAACCTATTCTAAAGAATGTAAGTATATAGCTCAGCATTTTTTCAAAACTTTAGTAAAAGCAACCATCTTAAAGGAGTTGAAGACAGAAATAGAGCACAGTCATTATTTCTTGAATAGTCTTACTTGAGACTTTCTTGTGAGCTAGATGAGGACCTGTCTGATTGTGGAAGAGAAGCTACACTGCCAGAACTCTTTAAGTAAGTTTGAAGACTTTTCTGATAAGACGGCTCAAGGGAATTATATAATGTTTCAGCTTCACCAGGAAAGTGGTTTCGAAGACCCATATATGTCCTATAAAAGAAAGAAAAGCACATGAAGTAAGAGCTTTACATGATTAGAACTTAATAGTAAAGGATGAAGATAAACTCATAAGCTTTTAATACATTTGTTAAGTGTCAGGGAAATGCTTTTTAAATTAAGTAAGTTCCAGAAAAAGCAGACCTCAGTTCAAAACCTGGCTGTGCCACTTATGGTTTATGTGGAATTGAGTAAACTCCCAAATCTCCAGACTTTATCTGTCATCTATGCAGATATACCCTCTCTGCAGGATCACCGTAAGGATGAAAAAGTAACATGTGCCAGTACCTCTCACAATATCAGATAATAATACATGCTCAATAAATGGTAGCTCCTTTTCACAATGTAAGTGAATAACAGAAGAAGAATACTGGCAATTATACCAATGACAATTTAATGGAGAAAATCAATCACAATTTTGCTGAAGAGCTAGTCAAGTATAATACTTGGGACACTTCTCATTCTCTCAATGCAATTCCTATCCAAAAAGATCAAAGTATGTTTAAACTATCACAAAAATATACTATAGACTTACTTTCTTGCCTCTACTCTGGCCTCAGCATCAGCATCATGAATTCCCTTCTTAATAGTTTCAACCAAGACGGCTGCATGCCTGTAAAATAAATGTATCTTTAGATTCAAGTATACAGCTGTGCATTTCACCACAAATGGTACTTCCTCCTATATGTTACTCATCCCTCACAAAGTGGCAGGAAAGTCAGAAAGACTAATTTTGTGTAAATAACTAACAGTGCAGGATTTTCTATTTCTTTTCTTTCTTTATTTTGAGATGGGGTCTTATTATTTAGCCCAGGCTGACCAAGTAGCTGGGATTACAGATATGAACCATCATACCCAGCTCAAAGACTAAAGGATATTCTAATAATCTGCCCCAAATATTTCATTCACATATGGTTTCCTTCTGATAATTCAATCACTATAGATCTTAAAATAATTATTTTATAGAATTCAGACAATATGTACAATTTTAAATGAACTGGAAAAAAGTTGTATGGTTCCCACTAACTCTACCATTATAAAAAATGATTTGCTACAAGTACAATCTGTTATGATGTGATCAAACTGAATAGTAGCTGCCATGAAACAACTTAAAGAAAACGTGAATTATTTGATGTCTATGTTAAACAACAAATGCTATTTTTTAAAAATGAGGTGTTTTCACTGAAATAGAAAGTCGGCAATGCTCAATGTAAATGCAGGTTACTGGTGAAGCTTTAAACTTGAAAGTAATAAGAAAAACAGCCATGCAAACTGCCAGTAACCAAGTGGCTCTGCCCACATTTTCCTTTCTTTCATCTTAATTAGGTAGTGTCCAGTGTATTACTTCACCAATGATACTGGGACAGCTGATGTAGAGAAACTTTCCAACAGATCTGTCTGTCTTACCCCTCCCTTTTTGAGGAACTGGGGACTGAACTCAGGGCCATGCACTTACCACTTGAGACATGTCCCCAGTCTTTGCTTTTAGTTGTTTTTTCAGATAGGAGTTTGCTAGCAGGGGCTAGTTTGAACTGAGATCCTGCTATCTTCCAAGTAGGTGGGATTACAGGCATGGGCCACAATTTTTGCACAATTCAACTTGGAGCATCTTACATAACTCACTCTACTTAAGGAATCCTCATCCACCTCACCCCACAAAGAAGAAAATCACACTATTCATGGCTGAATACTTAAGAGGAGCATAGGACCACAACTTTAAGGAAGACCAGGGTGAAAAATCTGTAGTAAATTGAGAAACAATGCAAAACCAATATCCCCAGCTTCTAAAGAACTAGTGACAGCGGGGAAGGAAGGGAGACTGGAGAGAAGGAGGAAGAGGCAGTGCATACCTTTCCAATGAATGGGTCTGCCACTCTTGTAACAATAAATCTAAAAATTCAAAGGAACGCCTGAAAAATAAATGTTACATTACAACTAAAGGTTGTATAGAGCAACACGTTAATGCTTTCTTTTATAATTTTGTACTTTGCCCCCTGAATTAAAGCGCAAGGCATGTTTTTAGCTATCTTAACTGTGGAATATCTTATTGATGGGTCCATCTATTTCTGTGCTCAATAGTTCAAAAAGGTTTTAAGAGTTTTGCATAATTTTAACTTTAAAATGGTTGTTAAATAAAACATTTAACAAATTTTGTTAATTGAAAAAGTATTTATTAGTTATCTACCATTTACTAGACATTGAGGATATATAATGATGACCAAGAAAAACATGAAAATCTCAATCTTTCATTTGTACATTTAGTTTCCTTAAATATGATCGTATATGATTCTTTTATAAACACTTTCTCTAAGCCCTCCAGTTCTCAACTTCAGGTGTTTCTCTCTTGAGTTCTTCGTCCTTGGCTGTCTCAGCTCTGTCTTGTTTTCCTTCCTTAATTAACACTTTTAATGCACCTATCCTTAAACAGGTGTCCAGTTGGTTGGTATCAATCTTAGCCTATTACTCTTTCATAGTCTTTTACTTGGGGAACATCATCTGTACGCAACTCTATCTGAAGTAATTCTCACATAGAGTATCTCACACAGAGTACTTTATCTTCAGGACTGGGTTTGTCTCAGTTATTAAGTCCATGTTTTAGCCAGCTTATGAACATTTCCCCATAAGCAATGAATGTCAAGTCAAACACTACATACTAAAGAATAAATTATTTTTTACCTTCTCAAATCTACTCTTTTAGAACATGTCATATAGACTAAGAAATGAAAAACAAAACAAAACAGGGAGGTTAAATGTCAAAGCTGGGACGTCAATCTTGGCATTCTAACTCTGGAGCACATAGTCTAACATACTTAATAGCATCCCCCTCATCCACATGAGTTATCAAGTCCTACTTTCATACATGAAATGCATTTTGAATTTATTAAATAAAAATCTCCTTCAATCATCAATACAGCTATACTTTAGACCTTATCTTTCTCAATTTTTTGTGGGGGGCAGTGGGAGGTAACTGGGCTTTGAATTTAGGGTCTTGTTGCTTATAAAATAAGTGCAATAGATTCTCCTAATTTTCAAAGCAATTTATATGATTTCCTCATTTCCTGTTCTGTCACATTTTTATTTTGCCAATTACCATTTTCCTCCATACAAAACAGATTAGTACCCTTTTCTGTAAAGGGTCAAGGAGTAAATATTTTAGGCTTTGTGGACCACGTTTGGTTTCTGTGTCATGTTCTTTTTCCTCACTCAACCTCCTTTTAAAAACCACCATTTAAAATGTAAAAACCAATCTTAGCTTAGGCTATTGGCCAGATTTGACCGATGAGCTATTGTTTGCTGAGGGGAGACTAACCAACTGCTGCCAGAACTTTAAACTTAAAGGAAATAATGTCTCATTCAGCTTCTATCTAATATTCAGAGTATTTAATTAAATATATTTATCAAATTTTTAAAGAAACAAGCAAGAGCCTCTCCCCACCCCCTGCAGAGGAACTTCTGTTTGAATTCAGGGCCTTGAGTTTATAGCAGATGATCTTCCACTTATACCACTCCACCAGTCCAAGCCCAGCTTTTTGGTTGAGATGGGGACTTGATATTTTTTTTTGTCTGGGCTGGCCCTAAATCGAAATTCTCCCAAGTACCTAGGATTGTGGATGTGAGCCACCATTCTGGCCCCTGCAAGAGTTCTCTTAAGCATCAAATGCACAAGTATTCTTTTTCCTCTTTCTTTTTTTTGTGGTGGTGGGTATTGAACCTAGGTCCTTGAGCCTGCTAAGCAAGAGCTTTACTTCTGAGCTACATCCCAAGCACTTTTTGTTTTTTTGGGTTTTTTTTCTTTTTTGGTGGTACTGGGGTTTGAACTCAGGGTCTCGTGCTTGCTAGGCAGGTGCTCTACCACTTGAGCCACTCTACCAGTCCCTTTCTTCTCTATATTATTGATAATGATATTACATTTTGAAGAAATCATAAAATGAAAGAGAAGCATTGACTGACAGACTTGACTTGGCTATTTACTTTAAATACCAGGTTTCTAAACAATAGCATTCTCTAAACACTAGGTTAAGTTCCAATAATGTGCATACCATTTAATCCTCACATTCTATGGGGTAGCATCATTAGCCCTACTAACCTACCCAGACAGTTAGGTTCAGAGCAGTTAAATAACTGCCCAGGGTAGGATAATCAGGAGCAGTTTTTTAGCCCAGTCCTAACTCTAGACTCTGAAAAACAAGGCAACCAGCGGTCCAGATAAACAAAAGCTTAATATAACCGAGAAATGTGTGTGGTCATAACAATTGCTTCATTCCTTTTTCCTCACATGAGATATGAAAAAATTTTTACTATGTTGTTTTTTTGAGAGGCAATTTTAAGACGTTAACAATCAATATCTGCATCAAACTTAAGAATTAAACATTTTGCTAAAATTATACCATTTTTTTTTCACAACTTACCTCCTCACAGGTACTGATTTTGATGTGCAATTGCTTGTTATTAAAGGTATAAGCCTGGGTACATGAGTATGCTGAAAAAGACATTTTAGAACAGGATGAAAAATACTGTGTACTTCTTGTTGTCCTTTCTTCTGTGTGCCTTACATTCTAGTACTTAGTAATGTTCCAAATGAACAAAAACCATGAGTCAGATATTAAAAGAAATTAAGAAGTTTTCCCAAATTAAATAGTAATGATGATACAGTTTCAAAAGGACAGCTGTGGATATAGTAATATATAACAAAGACAAATTAATTGTGTAACTGTAAAGAACTATTAGGACAGTAGTTTATGGGAAAAGGAGCACTAAGAAGAACTAGGAATAAGTTCACCATATTTTCTGAACTACCTGGGCTACTGCTGGTAAGAAATAATTTTATGTCATCAGAATATATTCAGAGTAAATCTATATTCTTAACTATTGAGAATGTACTCTGAAATGCTGATTTTAACAGAACTTTCATTCTGGCTGAGTTATACCTCACTAGAATTCAAGTAGAAATTTAATAATATTCTGACTTCTACTAATAACTCTTATGCTCTTGTTTTTAGGGAAGCAAATTCTATAAAAATTTCATATATATATATATATATATAGATATATATAGATATATAGATATATAAACAAAACAGCAAGCTCAGCAGACATATTTGGTGTCTTAAATCTCCTATTTTCCTTCTGAACTAAGGTACATGAGTTAACCAGGAAGCAAGCTCTGAGATAAGAGCTTGGTGTACAGAGTATTTATTATATACTTGGGATCAATGCCTATGGCAGGCGGGAATAGGAAACAAAAATAGGCAAAGGAGGAAACTAAACTGTTATGGGACTCAAGATATATTTGCCCAAAGCTATCTGAGAACTCTGGAACTAAAATGGTCCTTTCTCAGCTACTCAGGAGGATCACAGTTCCAGGCTAGCCACAGGTGGGGCTGGAGGGTGAGAGGACACTCCATCTCAACCAACAGAGCTGGGTGTGGTGCCTGTCATCCCAACTACAGGGAGACTTAAACAGGATTTCTGTGGTCCAGGCTGCCCCAGCAAAAACAGGAGGTTCTATTTTAAAACTAATTAAACAAAAAGGGCTTGGGGGCATGGCTCAAGAGGAATTGTGAGTTCAAAGCCCCAGTAACATATCCCCCCCTCACCCCACCCCCCAAAAAGGTGGGGGTGGGCGGGGTTGAGAGTCTATACTAACCAAGAATAGATACTGGGCTGAAGTATGGCTCAAGCAGTAGAGCTCCTTCTAGTAAGCTCAAGGCTTTGAGTTCAAATCCCAGTATCACAAAAAAAGAAAAAAGAATAGACGCAGTTAAAAAAACTACTTGTTAAATGTAATGTAACTATTGATGGGAAAGATAATTAAGATAAAATGTATGTTTTGGGGGGAAGGAGGGACAGGATCTCTCCATGTAGCCAAGCTATCCTTAAATTTGTGATCCTCCTGCCTCAATCTCCAGTATTGGGATTATAGGTGTGTGTCACTATGCCTGGCAAAGTGTACGCTTTTTAAAGACAGGGATGGAGTAAACAAATGTTTTATTTTTTTTTAAATTTAGTTTGTTTTATTCAAATGCCAAAACATAAGTTCCAAGATACAAATAGTAGTATACCTAGTTGTGTTTGATTTAAAACTATCAATTATGCTTTCAACTTCCAAAACCAAATGTAACTTGTGACTAAAATGTCTTGCAATCTATTTTTGCAGGATAACCCTTAATAAATTAGAAACTATTCCAATTTTCACAAAAAGGAAAATGATGCTACAAAAGAAAGATAATGAACAAAGTTATAATCCGAAAGACTTCATGAGAAGAATTTCAACCATTATTAGAGAGAGTATGGCTGTTTTCTTTCCTCACTGTAGCCATCAATCTTTTTAAAAAAATTATTATTATTAGCATATTATAGATGTACATGGAGTTTACTGGACATTTATATCATAGTATTTATAATATATCTTAACTAGATTCACCCCCCTCCATATTTCTGCTTTATTCTTGATATTGACGAAGAATAAGAAACAATTACAAAATGAAACAAAAGAAAAAGGAACAAACAAGGATAATGAACAGAAAAAAAGAAAAAATGGTTTTTCAAGACAAATCTTGACTATTAAAGCACACATAGCATATTTGTTTAGAATTTATGGTTTCTATTTGTGTGGCAATTAAGTTTATGTACATGCAGAATAGAAATTTGGAAAAGTATATACTACAATGATTAATTATAGAAGAATAGCACTAAAGGAGAGAGTGTTTTGAATTGTTCTTTTGGGCATTTTCAAGACATGCATTATGAGACATACTAAGAATATTCAAGCATGTTTGCTTTGTAATTGTTTGTATTATGTACATGTTCTATAATGACAGTGTGCTGCTAAACTATCACAAAAAAAAATCATTCAAAGGTGATTTCCCTCCCTGGGGTTTAAAACAAATACTAATGACTTATTTAAGAACTCTACAGGGTGAGCACTTGGAAAAGAGACCTACCCGAATGATGAATCTGATTGCTGCACATCCAGAAGTTGCCATGACTTTTGCACTATTGGGACAAGATTAAAAAGTGTAGGTACAATGGCTTCAGCGCCATGATCAAACTTGTTTCCCAAAACTGTTGAAAGATGGCTACAAACAAAGAGAAACAGTATTTTAATAGTTTATTAAATAAACTAGATTGTTTTAAAAAAAGTCTAGATTGTTTTAAAATACTCTTTTACTAAATTGATTTTGGGGATTTTTATTCTAATTGGTTCTAGTAACAGAAAATCAAAAGAAAGAAAGGGAAGTCCAAATACTATATATTTCCTTCTTTTCCCCATCTATTAACTGGCTTGTCCAAAGACAAAGGTTGACATTTTCTTATTTCTTTCTAATGGCTAGATTTCCTAGCTCTGCTTTGTGCCTCCACCCTTTCTCAAGGTCAAGGCCTCCAGGTTTAAACTGCACTGATCATATTGCTCAATTTATTTGTATCTTTCAAGAATTCCAGGCCTGCCCTCTACAGCTATTTTATAAATTTTGCCCAGTTATCTAGTCCCTTCCAAGAATATTTTACAAGCTTACATTTGGCGAATTTTTTGTTTCGATTTGTTTGTTTTGCTAGAGATATCTGATCATTTGGTATACTGGTACAGTGAACTGTATGTATCTAGCAACCTTACTAATTTTCCATTAATTTAAGTAAGTCATCTGTAGATCCCATGTAGTTTTCTGCATGGATAATTATGTCATTTGTTAATAATGGCACTTTTTTTTTCCTTTTCTTGCAATCATGGTAGTTTTTATTTCCATCACTCTCCCCCACACACATTTTTGCTGTTCTGATTTTAGACTATCTAATACAATATTAAATACAAAGACAGATAATAGGCACCTTTATGTTCCCTATCTTCAAAGGGATGCTTAAAAATATCATATACGGTTAACAGTATTTAGGTCAGGAGTAGAAGAAAATGGGATTTCAATGTTCTACCATCTTTGTATTATAGAGGGCCACAAACATAGATTTTGATGAATTTAAGATGCATATTACAATTCCAGGGTGATTTACATCCAGGCTGAATATTGGAAATGGAGTAATAACCAAATAAGTAATGAGAAAAGTAAATACAGAGTCTCCAGACCCATTTTCTTCTTATACAGGTAGAGTTAGAGTTGATCAAAAATCCATGTGTAAGGCTTTCGATATAAAAACAAATTTTAAATTTGACATAAAGAGCTATAGAAAACTTTTTTTTCTGTTAGGAATCAAACCCAATGTCTCACGCATGCTAGGTAAGCACTGTAATACTGAGCCATACCCCAGTCCTAGGAAGATTTCTTTTCTTCTTATGTTTTCCAAATCATATAAATTGAATGCTTATGTACAATAAAAATTATTTTGGGGTCATATATATGCTTTTTTGGGTTATCCTGCTACTGCTTTACTAACAGAGCACTGAGTCAATGAGTACTAAATTCATTCATTAAAAAAAAGACACTCAGCACAAAAGGAAATGTTGGGTTTGGGGACCTAACGGACAGATGAGTGAGTCAGTGTCCCATCCCCCATGGAGAGCACTATGAGCCCTGCACCCTGAGGAGAAGATACATGGTCTCGTAAATCTGCCATGGGGCTAATAGACAGGACACTCTCAAGGCTGATCTCCTCCCCCCAATAGAAGAGAGCCCATGTGCGCAAATCCTCAACCAGTGGAAAGACCCCATCTAATCCTCACCCTAACCCAGAGTTAAAGTGTCCATAAAAAGCCCCAGCCTTCACCTCAGCAGGGAGCCACCAGTTTCCAGGCTCTAGCTGTAGCCTTTTCTTTTTCTAATAAATCTACCTGTGTGGACTATCCGTGTTTTGTGAGCTTATTCCTAAGCCCAGCGCAGACAAGAACCCCTAGAGCAGCACAACAGAACAGAAAATACTTACGCCACAGTAATGCAAGCTTCTCGGACCACCTGGGATCTGAGGTCCTTGGCAGATAGTTTAAGTGCTCCATCCAACAAGCGTAAATGTTGGAAAAAGCAATCATACTGTGCAGCCCCAGCAACAAGCAGTGATCGAATTTTCTTAAGCTAAAATAAAGAGAATTTTCACTACTGGCATAAAAAGTGGCAGTGCAAAGGAGGGAGGGAGGGGAGGAAGGAGAAACTAAGAAAGAAATTAAAAATAAAGAATCCAGAGCTACACTATTCAAAATCAAATATATATTTCATTATGTTTACACAACTACATTAACATTTTACTCATTTTTTCGACATTTTAGTAGCATTAAATGTAATACATACAAACAAAAAGTTTTATGGGAAAAAGAACATTTCAGATTTAATTATATGTAGAAGAGATACATATAATGTATATGTAGATTAATAAATTTTAAAATTGGTCTTTTAAACTATGGTAAAATTTAATATAAAATTTACCATTTTAAAGTATATAAGTCAGTGACATTAAGTACATTTTCAATGTCGTGCAACCATCACCACTATCTACTAAGGAAATCTCTGTCTCTTTTTGTGTCTCTCTGTGGTGATACTGCAAATGAAACCATCATGCATGTTAGATACATCACCAGCCCAGGAACTAACCATCAAGCTATTATCATGTCCATATGTTAACATTTTCACACTTTGCAAATCAAATGGCTCTCAAATACATACCTTTAGCACTGTATTTTAGTAGCTGAGTAACAAATCTTTTCCAAATAAACACCACAAACAAGCAAACTTACATCAATCAAAAGAGATACACATGCACATCTACGCTCACACATATTCAGAAATGAAAAATTTATTTATCATGACCATTATTATATCTAATCTCACATTTAACTCAGATGTTTTATAAATTTAAAAAATATCTTTAACTCAGATGGATTAAAGTTGTAATTGTAAAAAGCTATTATGGATATTAGAAAAAACTTTTAAAAGTCAGATAATATTATCTTGGAGGGTACAAGGAATAAAAATTATTATAAATACACCAGAAACTCCAGAAACCATCCAAGCTAGATTAACTAAAGACAAAATAAAAATTACAACAAGGTAAGAAAAAATTGCCTGCAACACATGAGACAAAATACAACAAATGACCATAATGAAAAGACAACTCGATACCAAACTAGGAAAAATAAGTATATGAAAATGTGTCAAACCTTATTAGTAATGCAAAATCCAAATTACAAACAAGACATATTATTTTCCCCCATCAGAGGGGCAAGAAGTTTAAAAAATCTATTAAGCACCCAGTGCCAGAAAGAAAATAGATGCTCTCAAAGAATGCATATAAGGGCTGGCGAAGTGGCTCAAGTGTTGGAGTGCCAGTAACCGCCTCCTCCCCAAAAAAACACATATAAGATTATGAATAACTGAAAATGTTGTTCACACTATTTTGGTAGCATCTACTCTTTACCCAACACATTAAAATTCCAACCTACAGAACACCATTGTTACCAATGTGTATAGGGGTTGGGACATTATTGTAACATTGTTAAAATGGCAAAAAAAAAAAAAAACCCACAAAATCCTCAAATGGGAAATAATGTCATAAACTACACATATATACATACATTAATCTAAAGAATAAATGTGCATACCGATCTACAGTTGATAAATATCTGAGCAAACACTACATGCCTGACATCTATACTAGGTGTACTGAATGAGCATGATTTGTTACGTGAAAAAAAGCAAGTTACTACAGAACATATCTAACTTGATCTAATTTGTTTTATACATGTGGGGGTACCGTTATTCTTACCTTGTCACAAATACTTGAATATATATACACAGAAAAGAATATACTCTTCAAAAATAATAAAAAGATCATCTGTTATTTCTAGATGGGTACTTTCAAAGTAAAACAGAAGACCTTCAAGCACAAAGTTTATGTTTTATACTGACACTTAATCTGTCATGTTTTTCTCCACAGAACATCTGTGACAAAGATTTTTCTATATTAGGCTCATTTCAGAACTGAAAAAGAATGAACCACATTAAAACAAATTTTGAACAACATTTTATGTATCAAAAACGTCCTCAGAGCTAGGCACTGGTAGCTCACACCTGTAATTCTAGCTACTGGGGAGACTGAGAAGCACGATTCAAGGACAGCCTGGCCAAAAAGTTCATGAGACCCAATCTCAACAGAAAAAAAAGCTGGGTGTGTGGTGCATACCTGACATTTCAGCAACAATAGGAAATATTAATAGGAGGACTGAAGTCCAGGGTGGATTGGGTAAAAAATGAGACTCTATCTCTAAAATAACCAGAGCAAAAAGGGCTGAAGGTGTGGCTCAAGTGGTAGGTAGCAAGCATAAAACTTGGAGTTCAACCCCTAGTACTACCCCTCCTTAAAAAAAAAAAATTCTTAGGGCTGGCTGCGATGGCTTATACCTATAATCCCAGCTACCTGGGAGACAGAGATCTAGAGGACAGATGTTCAAGACCAGCCAGATCAAAACACTAGGGAGAACCCCCATCTCAACAAACAAGAGAGGAGTGGTGGGACATATCTGTAATCTCAGCTATGTTGGTGCCAGATGTGTTTAGGAGAATCACTGTCCTGAGGTTGGCTATGGGATAAAAATGGTACCCTATCTGAAAAAATAAAAAGGGCCGGGGGGGACTGCTCATATGGTAAAAGATATGCTAACTTAACATGTAAAAGATGAAAAATGATCATCTGTTCACAGTATCGTAAAAGTACTATTTGTTAAAAGTCCCTACTTGACTCAATTCATCAAAATGGAGATCTTCATGATCATTCAGATCAGAAGCTTTGAGAGCAGAATGAGTCTTCAGATGGAACCCCTTCTTGGCTTCTTGAGGACTCTGATTTACTCAGTACATGTAATTTAGTCATGTAAAATCAACAATTCACAAAATTTAAATATTCTTAACTCAATGATACCCAAGCTTTTTTTTTTTTAAATCATGGGTAATAAATATTCATCACATCAATGAGAAAACAAAAAGCCACATAAATGGACACACTCCTGTGAAATCAATACTATGAAAACACCAAGCCTATGGGAGAAGTGAACTGCAATACTGGCAAATCTTCCTCAACTTGGGGATGGAACCTATGTAGCTCCATAGAGGCTAAGGCCCCAGAGCTCGCACTTCGATCAGAGAGGCTACCAAATGGGTGAGACAGGTACCACGTGATAGGCAAAAACAAAATAAAAACTGAACCTAAACCAGAAAATGCCTATTATCTCAATGTGTTTTCCAGGAAGAAATGTTACAAGTAGTACTATGACTGGCTTTCCATGTTTTTGAAGAGGAACACTGGGAAGAATGAAAGAAGGATAACAATATAAAAAAACCAAAGACTTACCGCATTGGCGCGCTGATCCCAGTCATGTTTGTCATCTGACAAAATTTCCCTGATTTTATTCAATGTTTCTTCAAGTTCTCGACTAGAATAGATCTTCAAGAAAAGATTCAAAATTTTAACAATATATTCCGCCATGAACAATATCAAAATTATGTCACAATGTTTAAAATAATCTTTTTAGGTTATAAGGCAATAGTTCCCATTCCAGCACCATTTTTTAATGGAAAATATGCTGTAGACAATAATAAAATGCTTTCATTTATCCTTTTTCCTTGTTACCCCTTTTTATTTGTCCCCTTGTGTACAACCTCAAATATACTGTTAAAATCCTCTGTAATTTAAAACCATTATTCTTTCATTTATTTAACAGATAATCATATAACAGGGATATACTATTCTAGGCACTAGGGAGACTATGGTGAGCAAAAATAGAGATAAAATATTATGTCTTTGTCTTACGACTTTAAAATCTACAGTCAGGGACACTTAAAAATTAGTAGTAAGAAACTATAAATAGTAAGTACCACAAAGGAGAATGAAAAGGCCATGAAAACATACATATAATAGAGGATTACCTAGCCTGGAAAGTTAAGCTTGAGTTGAGAGTAACAAATAAGTAAGACTTCATTAGGCAAGATGCAAAGAGATTTGCACAGCATGCGCAAAGGGGACTAGGAAAGCCAGTGAGCCAGGCCTAAGTTACTCTGTGCATAGTATCCTTACACCACAGTCCAGGTTCAGAGGTGGGCATGTGACCTAACTCTGCTTAATCAGAGTGAACACCACATTACAGGATCAACTGGAAAAGAAGGAGAGGGCAGTGAAGATGTGAGGCTGGAACACCTGTAGCCATGTTGCTGATCATGAGGGAAGACAATGTAGTGGAATGAGAAATGAGAGATGGAGAGAAGGAAAGTCCTGGTGATAACATGTGAGTCCTCCTCATCCTGCTGAGGCAGGAGGATCATGAATTCAAGGATAGCCCAGAATACACAGCAAGACTTTGCTTTATAAAAGCAAATGAAACAAACAAAAAAACCGAAAGAGAGGGAGGAGAGAGTATAAAAGCATGAAAATATGAAGAGAACCATATAATATTCTTCTAGACAAGGATTCCTGGAAGTTTCTGAGGTAGCTCTTTTTCTCCATCTTCCCTTTTACAATACTACTCAGCTACCATAGCTCCCTCTACCACTCTTAATCTTATTATAAGGTATTGCCCTGCTCTGGAATACAACGAATGAATAAAAGTAACCGTCAAAAGAGCATGGAAAATATGGTCAGGAGGACAATGCTTCAATTACTGGAAACAAAAATAATAACAATAGTGACATAAAAATCCAATGTGCGACTATGAAGTACATAGGTAAGGTGAAGGTGGAGAGGAAGTCAAGAAACTAATGGGTCATCCAAATGGAAACTAAGTCATCGAGAATGTGTTAAAGTAGGATAATGACAATAGTTAACATTTGCTTACTATGCTGCATTGCCATATGCAATCCTCCCTGAGCACATACTAGTAATTCCCAATTTAAGACAAAGAAACTGAAATACAGAGGATAATTTGTCCAAGGTTACACAGCAAGTATGGGAGATCTGGCATTCAAACCTAGGCATAGAGGAGTGTTGTCCATATCAGTACATGGAAATAATAAGGAGGCTGATCAAAGAGCATGACCCTCTAATAAGCAAGTGCAGGAATAATGGTCACCAAATGACAATGAGGAAAGCAAGCACAATTAACGTACATCAATTACTAAGGCCACGTGAGTTAAGAGTAATAAACAGTCTCTCTAAGAGCTTTCAAGGGGGGAAAATAATCAAATTTTAATTAAGGAAAGGACATTGAAGGACCCCCTAAAAAGGGACTTGGGGAGCTTCTGCTTATGTACCAGATATTCCAAAGGGCACAATGGGAGGTATAGAACATTGGTGGCATCGGTGGCCAAGGGCTAGTTAGTTGTAAGGATGCAATGGGTAACTGCAAAAGAGCCTTTTCTCCTCCATAAAGCTGAGTCACCCTTGGATTCAGTGACCCGTGATTATGCCATTCTGACAAGAACACACTTACTGAACAATGAAAAATGTTCAAATCTAACCAAGTCTTACCAATTGTTCCTACAACACTTATCCTTCTCTTATATGAAAGGTCTGTAAAAGACAAAAGGAGAGGGACTCTTTTTCCTGTTACCTAAAAAGTAAGTATCTTAAAATAAGAAAAAATATATTTCAATAAAGGGACAAAATAAACTCAATAAAGGGACAAAATGAACAGAAATGTTTTTAAGGCTTTCTCACAACTTTTTAAGCCCTTAAGTACCTTAAGGACAACTTTTCCTTTCGAGAACTAAGACAACCATACATGCAGTAAGGGAGTTTGTAAGTAAAGTGATTTGAAATATTTTCAAAGAACAGTGAGCATTCACATCCATTATACTGCAAAAAATACTGTGAGTGACATCAAGTGTTGGCAAGAATATGAACAAATGAGACTTATCACAACTTTCTCATAGGAGTTTTAACTGGTACAATCCTACAGAGTAAAATGTAATGAAGTTAAAAGATTATAACCATGCAATGCTACGGCTATGTTTACATCCTATGGAAACTCCTAAAAATATATGCACAAAAATCTTCATTGTAGCAACTGAAATGAATGAACTGTGGTTTGTTCATATGATAGGATAAACATCTATTGATCCAAATGAATAAAACAAAATTACAAATTTTACAACGCACAAAATATTTTTTAAAATTTTGAGCAAAAAGTTGGGTTGTAGAGATGTATACAATGTACCATTTATTTGTATTTTTAAGACATGGAAATAATATTCTTATTGTGAATATGTCTACTCCAACAACTTCAATTATTTCTATGTGAATGATTTTCAAATTTCTGTTGTCAACCAGCCTCCAACATTCTCTGTGCTCAAAATTTATTAATTCAAGAATATGAGGCTGGCAGAGTGGCTTAAATGGTATAGTGCCTGCCTAGCAAGCATGAGGCCCTAGGCTCAAACCCCAGTAACCCCACCTCCCAAAAAAAGAATGTGATCTTTAAGTTGGACACTGCCATTTAGTCACTTCATGTGACTAAGTAATATTGATTCAATTTTATTTCCTTTGTAATCATTTGAAAGTCTAACTATGCCAACAAATAATAGTTTAGTGATAAGTCAAATATATCTCTTATATAGTCATTGAAGGAAAAAAAGAATTTTTTTTAAAGGGAACAAAACAAATGTTATTAACTCAAGCACAGGTAACATTCATGGTAAGTGCCACTTTACTGGTATCCTTACCTGAATAGAAGGAACATCTGTAAAAGCTTTTATAAAGTCATCTTCATCAACTGCTCCAGCCCCTCCTTCTTTAGAAGCACCTGGTAATTAAAAGGAAATTAATTTTCTACAGTTTATTTTTTAACTATTTTAGTCTTAAAGACAATGTGAAATTTTATCCTTTTGGTATTAACAAAAGCATAATTTTGAGGGATATTCCACAGCATAAGAAAACATTAAAAACAAAAACAAACAAACAAAAAAACCCCTCGAACTTTCACACAAGTCAAGGTACATGGCAGAAGTTCAATAACTCTCCTTTCAAGGTTCTAGGCTAGGCTGATGGTAAAATTCAAGCTATAACAAACTTCCCCAACTTCACAGGCCCTAGTTAATGCATTAGCAAGGAAACAAATACAAGTCAAAGGATAAACATTTAAAAAGCTGAGCAGCAATTTAAAATGACACTAAATTTCAATAAATGATGATAAATAAGTGATGTAGAGGATTCACGTATGCTGCTATGGTGAGAAACACATATGTGAAGGAAATGAGGATTCTGAAGTTCATTTAAATTATACTAACAAATCTTTCCTTGTTGCACATAGAAAATAAAAAGGTAAACTTAGGTAGCAGCTATTTCAAAGCCTGTACTTAAGCTATTGTCTTTCACATCTCTTGATTGAGATGCTGGGCCTATTATTCACCAAACCATTCTTTTTCTGTTGATTCTAATGTCAATACAGAGTGTTAAGAGAGAGTCTGGAAGCTGAAGGCAGAAGGGACCTGCTCCTTCCTGACAGCTTCCTGTTCTTCTCAGTAAAACTCCAGTAACTAACAGACCACTCATCTCAAGGCAACACCTATTTCCAGTCTGCAGCTTTTCTAAATTTCATTGAATCAGCTCACTGCATTCATCCAACATCAAAACACCAGTAAGCCGATTGCTTAGAACTCTGAATCCCAGGCCTGCAGGGCCCCTCTTCTAAACTCTAAGTTTTAATAATTTTAACTACCTCATTTTGTTTCTCCAATCCTGGGGGGTAGTAGCTGCTTCATGTAATTGCTACCTCCATATTATAGTGCTCTGGTATGCTATCTCCTAGCTGAATCCTTAATGATGGCAGCACTGATTTTTTACGCTACTTCACAATATTTATTTAAGTAAGAATTCAACAAATGATATGGACTTCAACCACACAAGTACACATGCCAGTGGATGTTTCGGTTCATAGAAGCTATATAGACAAAAGGCAACAAATATTAAATGCAGTCCTATGGCCATCTCAGATGTGACAATTTGGTCTCTAACCTGGACATGTGCATTACCAAATTTGGTAGGAGCCTGTATGATCTGAATAGTGGCTCCAATCTACCTCATTCTTACCTTTGAGAATCACTCTGTATTAAGGAAACCTGCTGCTAATGGGAGTATACAGATATATGAAGAAAATGTTAAGTGTGTGGGATAATGTATATGCTAACTTGCCCAATTTAATGATTCCATAATGCACATGTATTTCACAACATGTTGGACAAGGCAAATCTATTCAATCTTTATTTATCAATGAAAAAAACCCCCAAATAATATAAAGTTAAATTTAAAGGTGGCTGGAAATAACATCAAATATTTATATCTACTTATATAGAAATAATATTTATATTGTATATTATATAATAATTGTACATAGATATTGACTTTTATATCCAGCCACTGAAGGTGGCTCAAAAATAGACCCACAAATGTGTAAAGAAAAGAGGTTAATTCACAATTTGGAGACTGGAAGTCCAAACTACATGGTACCAGCTCTGGTGAGAGCTTTGTAACAAATGACATCATGGTAATAGCTCACAAAGCAGACATAACATAGCGAGACAGGAAGCCAGAAAGATTCAGGGGTCAGTCTTACTCTTTCAGTAATAACCCTCTCATAAGAACTAACCACAGATCATGAGAATTACTTAATCCCTTCCAAGGGCAATGCTCCAAAAGACCTAAACACCTCACACTAAGTTCCACTTCCTAAGAGCTTTATACCACCTCTCTATATCACCATATTGGGGACCAAGATTTCAATACATGGACTCCTGGGGGAGAGACTGAAAACATATCCAAACTATAGCAACAAAAAATTAATTTAGATTAATGGGGAAAGTAGGACCTATCCAGTTTTGGGGAAGAGGGGGGTTTTGTTTTATCTTTTTCCAGTACTAGTGTTTAAACTCAGGGTCTTGCACTTGCCCCAACTTCATGAACCCTATCCAGTTTTTTTTTTTTTTTAAATATTTCTCTATCAAGTATTAAAACTTACAGAAGACACTGTGATTCATGAAAATTCAGACACCTAGATTCAAAGCAAATGTGTTCCCAATAAATACTCCAAAACCCACAGAGACCAAAAAGAACAAAAAATAAAATCACCCACAGCCCAGGCTTAAAATCAAACCAGGTGACAAAACACTTTAATCTTCAATGTAAAGTAAATGGGGTAAATAAAAACATGTAAGACCAGTGCTATCAACTCCACAACCCTTACTAGAAAGAAGACTTCAGAGAAAATTGTACCCAACTGGAAGATTCCGCTAGACATCAACTAAGGCTCCCTAGAAGCAGAGTTAAGCTGCACTTAGGAGGGCATGCAGCCCTTTGAAAACCTAGTGGATAAAGGAAAGGAAGAAACAAAAGATAGGGGTTACACCGAAACAAAATGATACCCCTGATTCACAAGCAGGAAGCCTCCCACATACCATTTAGTAAAGAAGCTGTTTCTATAAACCAACAGAAGAGAGTGATTTTAAGCTAAGAAACTGAGCAAACTGGCCCCACAGAATCACTTTTTTGTTTGTTTAGAAAATTCAACACATCACCAGAAACAGAATAATCTAACATCTATGCTAGGCAATAGTATGAAGGAAATAAAGAAGAATGAAAAAGCTTTCTACTGGTAAAGTAACTGTTTCAACAAAAAAATTTTAAAAAACCCCAACCACTAAGGGAAAGAACTGAAACACCCTACTCCAACATAAATTCAATATACTTGAACAGCAACTACAGGTATTAAAAAAACCCCAAAAATCAGAAGGATCAAAATGTCAAGAACTAAGATTACATATGGAAGATACAAACAGACAGCTAGCTAAAATCAGGAAAGAAAATTTTGTAAAAAGACAAAACTAGGAAATAAACACTCAATCGCCAACTATTCAAGAAGAGGATAAATGTATCTTGGTTTGAATACGAAAAGCTATCAAAATATTCTTAGGACATTTGAGGAAACATGAATATAGAAATGAAATGAAGTGTTTAAAGGGAGGTGAGCATATGGGTTAAGAATAAATTTATATAAAATAAGAGGCCTATAGGAACAAGTTAAATAATATCAAAAAGAAGTGAAAACTCCACAACATGGGACAATCTAGAAAGATAACTGGTTTAACATTAATTTTTTTTGTATGACTGGGGTTTGAACTCAGGACCTCACACTTGCTATGTAGGTGCTCTATCACCTTGAGCCATGCCTCCAGCCCAACTAACTATCTTACACTATTCAAAATATCAATGTCTTGGAGACAAAAATTGGTAAAAGGATTGTTTCACAGATAATATCATAGAATTTTCTTATAATAATGGTATTATAGTTATAATATAATAAAGCATATCTTTTAAATCTTAGGAGGTGCATATTAAATAATTAGAATTGAAATGTCATTATACTTGCAATTTATTTTCCAATGGTTACTTTTTTCAAAAATGCATGTTAAAAATGTATCTATATGGAGAGAATTCAAATAAATAAGGGAAATGGCTGACTATAAACACAAGTGATGAATATTTACTGTGTATAAAAATGAAATAAACTTAAGCAGGCATATTGCCACTTGATACAAAATAAACTACAGACATACTAAGCAAGTTAAATGTAAAATAATTAATGTTTAAAAATAAACAAGACCATTTTCACACATCAAAATGCAGAAATTAATGAGAATATTATAATCAATACTGGAGAAGGTAAAATAATGTCTTCATTTAAATTAAAAAACACACAGCCCTGGCATGGTGGCTCATGCCTATAATCCCAGCTACTCAGGACTACTTAGTGGTAGTGACTTTATAAGAAGAAGAGAGACCTGGTATCTTGCCATGTGATACCTTCTGCCATTCTGCCATATCATGATGCAGCAGGTAGACCCTCACCAGATGCCAGCACTGTGATACTGGACTTGTCAACTTCCAGAATGCTAAGAGAGAAATCTCTACTCTCTATAAATTACCCAGGCTAATGTATTCTGTTATAGCAGCAGAAAACAGACTATGACAACTGCAGAGCTCTTTTTTTTTTTTTTTTTGCAGTACTGGGGTTTGAACTCAGGGTCTACTCCTTCAGCTATTCCACCAGTCCTTTGAGAGATAGAGTCTCTCAAACTATTTGCCTGGGCTGGCTTCGAACCATGTTTCTCCTCATCTCTGCCTCATGAGTAGCTAGGATTACAGGTGTGAGCCACTGTCGCCCGGCTATGGTAGAGCTATTAAAAGGATGTAAAAGCTTTCATTCTTGATTCTGAAGGATGTTCCATAGAAAAAAACTAAACAGCATGTTACAAAGTATTTGCTATAATTATTTGTTTTGTTTTTTTGGTGGTACTGGGGTTTGAATTCAGTGTTTTATGCCTGCTAGGCAGGTGCTCTACTGTTTGAACCACACCTCCAACTCTTTTTTTTCCTCTGGTTATTTTGGAGACATGGTCTCACTTTTTGCCCAGGCCAGTCTGGACCGAGATCCTCCTATTTTAGGCTTCCCAATGTCACTGGTATGAGAGGAGCATTGTACCACATCCAGCTTTTTCCCATTGAGATAGGGTCTTGCCAAGTTTTTTGCCCAGGATGGCCTGGAACTGCAATTCTCCTGACCTCAACCTCCTATATGGCTTGGGATGACAGGCACATACCACTGTGCCCAGCTACTGGTTGAGATGGGGTCTCTTGAATTTGCCAAGGTTGGCCTTGAATCACAATCCTTCTGATCTCAGCTTCCCAAGCAGCTAGGATAACAGGTGTGAGCCACTGGCACCCAGCTTGCTAAAATGTTTAATGTGGGAA